TGGAGGCAAACCCATTTCAGCAGTTTACAATACCCCGCCAATCTCGATGCTCCCGAACTACCCCTTAACCCGTTCTTCCGGAGTAAGCTCCCCATTTTTTCCAGGATCCTTCTTTCTAGAAACCCACCAATAGCCGACAGAAGCTGGTTGGCTTTTGGAAAGAAGAAGGATGGATGAAAATGCGGAATCCTTGAATCAGTCCCTAGAATGTTTCCACCCAAGCGACAGTGCCTTTGCATGCTCCGCTCGCAAGAGCTTGCTCGCAAGCTCGCACCAGCTGCGATCCAGGCAGCGGCCAAAGCCCAGGACACTAGCCGCAGCGGGTGCTTGAATGCCACGCAGCCAGGAAGCCAAGAACTGCGGATTTGTCGGTTTTTTCAGCCACTGGGTCTTTGCCAATCCTTACTGTGGCACGCCTGGGTTGGGTTTCGCGGCATGAAGTGCAACGTGATGTCATCACATGGACGGTTGTCACAATGTATGTCACTGCATAGCATATCGTTGCGCCACATGCCGATGCAAACATGTACAGCAACGGACAGCATTCTATGTCACCACATTTGCCTCAAATACCAGCGCTTTGCAACACATCGCATTGCATGTCATCGGACAGCTCTGTTTGAGATACATTCCGTATGCCTGCAATGCCACGTCATTGCGGTACATGTCACGGTGGTACATGCCATTGCGCCGTGCATTCCATCATGTTGCAGCGCATAACAGCTCACTTCCTGAGTTGGTGGACTTTAAACTTTTTGGGAAGACCATTTTAGTGGTAAATATAAAGTTTGGACTTTTTTTGAGCCATCCACTCAGCCAGTGAGACAGTGCATGTGGTCATGCATGCATCTTTCATCTTGACTACAAATTCTCGCAATGCCTGTGTGTTCAGTGGCTCCCTGCGCTAAGGCTGCGGTAGGGATTGAAGCGATGGCGGGGCAGCCTTTGCGTGGACTTTGCTCTTGATAGCGGTGGCACCATAAAGCTGTGCGGATTAGTAATCTGAATGCAGAAGACCACTCCGTATTGGCTCCAGCTCGGGAATCACAGTTTCTGGAGAAGGGCGCCTGCAGACATAGCAGCATCGTATCTAACCACCTCATGCAGCAAGCAAACAGCAAATGAAGCACAGGCGCACGTTGTGTACCCTTTTTTAGTTGTTACCTAGTGTGGCATACCACACAGGACGTGATGATTAGCAAAATATCACATGCCATTGATCAGTGCGTGAGCTCTTAACACAAAGCACACCGAGCGGGTAAAAAGGAAGAGGTCATATCGCGTGTTGCCATTCCGTAGCGAAGCACTTGATTCCATGTCATTGTTTTTGTGGTTTATCGGTACGCCTGCCGTTCCAATGTCAATCAATCTACTCAGCAAGTTTCGCGGGTGGGACCGAGTGTGACTTCCCGAAGTGAGCATCACACTCGATGAATCATTGTCAGCGGCGTCCCGTTCGCATGTGGCCCCCCGACTCTTTGAGACGCCATGGTCGCTCAAGCTTTCCGATGGTGCAAGGATAAACTGTGGATTCCCGCCCAAAACACAATGCAGGCAGAGAACAAATATTTGGCTGTGATACATCCTACTTGTAGTTATTGGATGTCGGGGAATCAGCCTATGTGCGGAAAGCCATGCTCGATTCTTTGACAGGGAGTGTTAAGAGGAAATTTTGGGAGCCAGCAAAGAAATCTCTTGCTAGGGTTCCATGTTGGTTTGCAGGGAGTATTCTGAAGAACTGGTCCCCACCGCGTCAATTTCCGCCGCTTTTCTGCCAGGACTCGGTCGGACCGTAGGATGCAATAGCGGATCGAGCGTTTTCCAGGCTGCGGGCAGCATTGAGTCAGATAGAGGTGGGCGCAGGCGGGTTGAGAGATAGGGAGTCTTTGATGCCACAGGAAATGCTGAACCGTTATGTTATGATTGATTTGTTTCATTCAGCAGGTGAGGATTCCTTGCATGGCATCGGGCAAATCCTTTTGATGCGGTTCTTATTGAGGCTCTGAGGCCGGGAGTCCACTTTTGTCGGAGGGGCTGGTTTTCCGGGTGTCAACAAACTCCCTTTGCGTGGTGGTTCCCCTTGCCTTTTTGTATCCCAAGCGGGTGTCCCATCTCCCTATCTTAACCAACTCACGACAAAGAGAAAACACCGCAGAGTGCTTTGGCCGCGCATGCCGAGACCAAAGACATGCGGTCTGGGATCGTGAATACCTGCCTTGAACCCACCAAGCTGGCAGATCGAAAGAGAACTCATGGAGTGGTGATCCGTTTTGGTTCGAAAACAGGGTACCCGCCTGACATCAGAAGGAACCTTCAACATGTGGAGCGCTCAAGTCCCTAAGCTCCCAGTTCTGCCGCATTCCGAATGACCCTCTTCCCGAAGCCCGTGGTGACTTCCGTGAGGCAACTTGTTGCAGACACTGCCCGGATCTGGTTTCAATGAACGAAAAGCTGCCCAACGGGGAGGGGCTGAGGGCATCTTGGCACATTCCGATGCGGTGAGGCTCGCCAGGATCTCCATGGAAGGACAGCATCCGGAAAATCTGGACATTTGCCTTAAACAAACATCTGGACGAATTTTGATCCTACACCTCAGGCAAGAGCCAACATCTCTTGGCTCAAACGGTGCCTCTTTTTCTCTTTCTCTTTCTCTGTCTCTGTCTCTTTCTCTTTCTCTTTCTCTTTCTCTGTCTCTGTCTCTGTCTCTTTCTCTTTCTCTTTCTCTTTCTCTTTCTCTTTCTCTGTCTCTGTCTTTGTCTCTTTCTCTTTCTCTTTCTCTTTCTCTGTCTCTGTCTCTTTCTCTTTCTCTTTCTCTCTCTTTCTCTGTCTCTTTCTCTGTCTCTGTCTCTTTCTCTGTCTCTTTCTCTTTCTCTGTCTCTTTCTCTTTCTCTTTCTCTGTCTCTTTCTCTTTCTCTTTCTGTTTCTCTTTCTCTGTCTCTGTCTCTGTCTCTTTCTCTTTCTCTTTCTCTTTCTCTTTCTCTTTCTCTTTCTCTTTCTCTTTCTCTTTCTCTTTTTCTTTCTCTTTCTCTTTCTCTTTCTGTTTCTCTTTCTCTGTCTCTGTCTCTGTCTCTTTCTCTGTCTCTTTCTCTTTCTCTTTCTCTTTCTCTTTCTCTTTCTCTTTCTCTGTCTCTTTCTCTGTCTCTGTCTCTGGCTCTGTCTCTTGCTCTTTCTCTTTCTCTTTCTCTTTGTCTTTCTCTTTCTCTTTCTCTGTCTCTGTCTCTGTCTCTGTCTCTGTCTCTTTCTCTTTCTCTTTCTCTTTCTCTTTCTCTTTCTCTTTGTCTTTCTCTTTCTCTTTCTCTTTCTCTTTCTCTTTCTCTTTCTGTTTCTGTTTCTGTTTCTCTTTCTCTGTCTCTTTCTCTGTCTCTGTCTCTGTCTTTTTCTCTTTCTCTTTCTCTGTCTCTTTCTCTGTCTCTTTCTCTTTCTCTGCCTCTGTCTCTGTCTCTGTCTCTTTCTCTGTCTCTGTCTCTTTCTCTTTCTCTTTCTCTCCATGCGCAGTGGCGTGCACTCCCCATCCCCCGCACAACTGGAAGGCTCGTTCGGAAGAACAAGCAAATATCTGGATTCATTGCTCCATTCTTTCCCCATAGCGACAAAAAACACAGAAAAGAAAACGGGCTTGGGCCGGGCCCCCGCCCCCCCCGCCCCGCAGCCCTCGCCCCTTGCCCCCCATGGTCCCCCGAAGCTCGCCGCCGTGAGGCGAAGACTTGGAGGACCTGGTGGCGCTGATGGCCAAGGCCTGCGCCCAGGACGCCAAGAGTTTCAAGTACGCCGCGCTGGTGGCGGGCGGGCAGTGGAAGGCCCGAGGGCGGGCGGGGGAGCGGGGGGGAGGGAGGTGGGGGGAGCAGGGAGGGCCACTGGATGGGGTGGGGGGGGAGGGAACAAGGTTGCTGAGATGTGATGTGGCCAGATTGAAAGCCTTGGCCGTCAGCGTCATGTTTTGGGAGGGACGCGTTGCTGTTTGCTGATCAATTGAAATTGAAGCACAACAAACATGCAACCCACACGGCGGGCCGTGAAAAGGAAAGTTGTCTCCTGGGAACCTTCTGCCAAGGTCCTCGCTTGTTGGAGGGTAGAGCTTTGAGATTCAATCGGACAGTTCGGGGCATCTCGACATCCAACAATATCGTGGACACTCTTTACCGAAATTGCAGGTTCTCGGCATGCTCTTTAGCAATTCTCAGGCAGGCTATTCAGTTTGGGCTCATCGAAAAGTCTCATTTTGGCCCTTGGGTCCCAAGTGGAGGAGGAGGAACTTCGTCAAACATCGAGCAAGAACCGCTGTGAGCACGACAATGCCCAAGTATCAGCAAGCATGTTTTAGGAGAAGCACAAGATGAGCAGCCCCGGAACTTGCAGCCGCTCAAGGCAGACGAGGCTGTATGTCCCGATTGGAATGTCGAGTTAGCCCCCGACATGTGGCTGTGGGTCAAGCATGGGTACCCAAAACGGAACCCTGGTAAATGAAACATGGACTAAAACCTGCGGCCCCCGGCGGCTTCATTTTGACCCATACCCATATTTGTACCCTCCTGCACTTTGGCGCAAAGTGCCCCCGCCGACCAGGGCCCCTCGGTGGAGGGGGCGGTGGCGAAGGTGTGTGGCGCGAAAGCGCCCGCCCCAGCCGCGACTTCCGACGGCGCGCCGCGCAGGCGCGCGTGAATGGATCAGGGGTAGACTGAGCTCATGATGGAGGTTCTTTGTGCTTGGGTATTCCTCGTTTCTCCGGTTCTGATCGAACAACTTGCAGATCAATGGCTGAAATGGTAACTATGGTCAAGGCCTGCGGTCATTTGGCTGCCTTATCGAGCCACTCTTGGAACAGATGTCTTTTCCTGCTGGGGATTCAGAAGGTGTGTACTCTTGCATTGCTCGAGATGGTTAATGTCGTGCTCATTTGAAATTTCACACCAAAGCAGCGGAGGGAGACGTGCAGGCAGATTGTGGCGAGTACCCCTGGTCCATTTGTGGGATTTGCCTGATGATGAATTGGTCTTGAGCGTGATAATTGACCGTTCTCCGATGCCAGGCATTTGCTAGCCATCCTGTACTACAAGACTGCTGAAGCCAGCAAGAAGCTGGGCTTGTCCGTTCCTCGGGCACGTTGAAACATTCTGGGGTGAATCAATGGTCATAGCTCGCACTTGACGCCGAACGGGAGCACGATTTGTGTGCCAAGCGCACCCGGGATGGGCCCGACAAAGGAAGCTGTAATTGGTTGTTAAGCTGACTCTCACACATGCTTCAACAATGATCAGTCCCTGCTGCTCCTGATCAACTCAACTCTTTTTGAGTGATGCTCAAAACGTTTCCTGTACGTGACGGTTGCATCAGGGCACCGCTCCATCTGCCCAATAGTGAGCACTGCGCTTGACTTGTTGCCCAAGGTCGCTCCAGCGGGCCTTTGAAGGACTGGACCGAGGCAACAAGGGCTTTCTCAGCGCGGAGGACCGACGCCAGATGCTGGCGGGACTGCACGACTGTCAGGAGAAGGCTTGAAGTATGGCCTTCGGCATGCTGCAATCATGACATGCATGGAAGCAAGGGAGTCCTGGGAAGCAGGACAACTCCCTGGTTTGTGAGACGATTGCCGCTGTCTCTTCACGCACCCCGCAAGCTGAGGTTACCATATCAGGACGAAGGAAAGCTGTTGGGAAGACGTGGAAGCGTGTTCAAGTTGCGATTTGTGGATGAGCTAGCAGCCACGTGGGGCAATATCCATCACTCCAAGCAACTAGCGCTGAACACCTTTTGTGGATGTTGAGTACAGGGCTTGCACCCGTGGTTTTTCGAGCAAGCTGGCGTTCAGCCATTCTTTTTTTCAGCTTCTTGATCTTGCGCAAGTACTTGAAGAACTTGAGAGTAGACACAGGCACGCACCAGGTGTGCGATGCGAAGAGTCTGCCTCGCAGCGCGTTGGCCAGTATGCTGAGCGCAGTGGTCGCGCTGGCCAGCAAGCATAGGCAAGTCCATATAGATGTCTCCAAAACTAGGGAAGCCCCTGGTTCATGCTGTTTGGGAAACCGAATGGGAACCAATCACTTCGGGGTCCCCAAATCTAGGACATGCCGCATAATCCATCGAGGCTCTCATGGCTCAGATCTGGAAGACCGCCTCCAAGCTTGCCAAAGAGCAAACGGTGGGGCACCGAAGGAAACCAGGCTCTGTGTTGGGCAAACCATGGCCCATGGCCCCCTTGATGAGAAGTGTGTTTTGCCCAAAAGGAAAGCAGCGTTCAAGGCAGTTTCAACGGCAAAAGACAATTGAATTCCGATTTTGCGCTCCGAGCGCAAACAACTCAGAGATGGGTCATGAATGTATCACCAGGGTGGTTACTGAACCATTTGATGTTTCGTGGTTAGACATACGGGGACATTGGGATTCTGCCTTAAGTTGGACTGTTTCGCCCAACTTTGTGGTGAAACGTACGGGGACATCGGGGTTGTGCCTACAAGGGACTCCTCGTTCTTTCGGTTTCTCTGCAACACCTGGCCGCAAACAGGTGCAGGTATCCTTCAAATCCATCCAAGATTGGGGGCTGGTTTTCCTTCGATTTGGATCTCTTCTGCAAGGATCTACATTTCAACGTTCCCCGACTAGTTATTGACCAGAAATCGTGCACACCCAACCACACATTTCGGCAAGCGGAAAAGCTGCGGTGAAAAGCAAGCCTTCCTGAAAAGTGGGGGAGCTTCTTACAAGCGTTTTCCTCCGGCGCTTGCGTGTACCCCACAACCCTGGTCCCTTTTTGTGGCCCGACCAAACCCCAGGCGAAGGCGGGAGGTTCCCTCGGCAGAATCGTCCAGGACCTGCGGGGTGCCGTGCTGCAGGCGGTGGGCGGCGCCCGGGCTCCCAGCCATCCTTTTCCTTAGCCTTTTAGCTTTTTAGTGTTTAGTGGTAGTTTCCATTAAACCCACCAAAAGTTAAACTCTTAGCGGGGAATCTAAGGGAGGCCCAGTTTTGAGATTTGCTGTGGGGGGTCTTCGTGCGTTTGCCACTGAAGTTTTTTGTGGTCGGTTTTCTGAAACGCAGTTCTTTGCTCTATTTCAAATTCGTTTTCCCGGGTGTTCTCTTTTGTATCCTTTCTTTTTGCGCTTCGGCGCTCCTGTTTGTATTCTCGGGGTTTTCCCTCGTTTATCCTGTGTGGGGCGCTCCATTTTGATTTGTCGGTTCCATTTGCTACCATGTGTCTTGTGTGTTCTGTTCTATCGTTTCTCAGTGTTCCCTTTTGCCCCCTGTTAACGTGTTCTTTCTTAATTCACGATGTGTCCTGCTTGTTTTGCTCTTGGTGCTTTTGTGTGTTTGAGTGTTCCACTGTTTGGTGTTTCTCTTGCTATCACTTGTCGGGGTGTTCTCCTTCCTTTTTTTGGTATTCCCTCTTTCATTTGTCTTGGTGGGCGCTGCTTTCTGTGTTTTGTTTTGGTGTGCGTGTGTGTATGTGTTTCCATATTTCGTGAGTGGTCTGGGTATTCGCTGCCGTATCCTTTTGGGCGTGTGCACTTGTTTCTCTTTTGTTCGGCGTTTCCTATCCAAGACAGGCCCTGGGCAGAAAACGGGCACTAAGACAGGCACTGAGCAAACATCGGGTCAAACTGAGGGATCTGCCCCTTGAGTTTGAGAGGACAACAAAAGGACGTGCCGCCATTCCAATCCAAGGGGTACGGGTATAGGTTTGGCGCCTTCAGAAGTACACCCTCGCGCCCGACAGACGTTGATTTTGCCTTTGCAATGTCCTTTTGTGCGAACGCCACTGGCTGGACCCGTTGTGGTGCATTGGTTCCTTCCTAAACTTGAGAATCCAATTGGTTTTTGACCCAGCCGTTACCCATAGGTGTCTTTGTAGGTCAGCTCTAGATAGATGGCGCTGAAACTTACTTCACTGGTTTCATTCAGTTTAGTTCCAATCATTTACCAGAGGAAAAGCAGTGGAACCTTTTTTGCAAAAAGGACCCTCCATCCCTTAACCTGGATCCTGCAGGGTTTGGACCTTTGCCCTCCAAACAGGACCAAAGTTCTCTGGTGTTTCGCATGGCAACGTGGATGGAGGGGCAGCTGAAGGAAGACATATCCGACCCATATGAATTCCCTCGCATTCTGAAACGCTCACTTCATGAGTTCATGGCCAAAAAACCATTCTAGTGGGCATACAAAGGTTTGGTTACTTTATCTTGGCCATCCACTCCGGAAGTGAGAATAAAAGAAAAGTGGCCAAACGTGGCCCAGGATCCAAAACGTCATGTCCGGTTTGGTGGAAGTCGTTTGGGCCTGCTGAGACCGTGGCTCCCTGAGGACGAGAGCCTTACCTTGAAGGATCTTGGGCTGGCCCCGGGAACCAGGCCCAAGATCGGATTGGATCGGGCCGCAGATCAGAAGTTCGGAAGGGGGTTGGCAGGAAATGTGTTCCAACCAAGGGATTCGTTTGAGCAAATGTGTTTGAAGAACGAGTTGGGGATTCAGATAAAACCTGAGCAACGGATGCTTGAGGCCAAAGGTGGGATTGATTTCACTGTTTTCTTTGACAGCGACACGACAAAGCGACGAATGTCGGGCCAGGGCCATGCGTCCACAATAGGATCAGTCCAATCCTGGCACAAGCAACAAACAGTGCCCCAAGCCTCGTTTCAGACCCCTCGTTTCGAGCTCTTTGGCTGCAAGAAGGCCCAACCAGCCAGGAACCCTCGTATGAAAGGGAGCGTGTGCACCCATCTTGTGCTTTGCATCAGACGGTATCGATCGGGGCGAGTCTCCTGCAAAACCCTAGGCCAAGAGGGGGCAACCGCGGCAGGGAGTCGAGAGCTAGAATTGCAGGGGCATTCAGCACAGCTCTTGAATTCTGAGCTGCTTTTTTGCTGCTGGGTAGCGAGAACTGCCTCTCGTAAGTTTCTGAAGGACTTCTCAGTGTTCTCTTGGTTTCCTTTCGGCTTTCAAAAGAGGGGTTCCTCTCAAAGAGGCGTCTACTCAAAGTTTTCAGAGAGATATGTTTCTTTTTTGGTTGGCTTTTTTTCTCCTTTTTTTCTACTCGACATTCTGGATCCTCAACGTTGACCGTTTCAACGAGCGACTTCCACATCGCTCCGGCCCCGGGACCCGGATCCTTTGCAGGCTGACAGCAGCGGACTTCGAGCGACGCTTAGACTTCGACTTTGGGCCCCTGCGACATGTCCAGGAGGCGCATGTCGGCCAGGTGGAGTATCCCTTGTTGAGCGGTGGACAAACCTCCGTGTGATTCTGGGATACCTAAAGTTAGGGGAGCAGTCGGCTGACTGACTGAGAATCAATTCCATAGGTTCTAACTTTGATACTCTTTTGGGGGTTTGCAGAACAACCAAACGACGCCAACCATTTGAAGGCATCCCAATGACATACCCACATGAGTGTATCTCTCAATGGGGTTTCTACCCACACGTGCCATGGCCGAAAATCGTTATCTGGGCCACGGTTCCATTAGGAACCCTTGCACTGATTGTCATATTCATAGGTCCCAAGGAGTGTTCTGAGCTTAGCACATTCATGAAGGAGACTGGCACCCTCCGGTGCCATGTCCCAACCAGGAGCCGGGTGCTCCCGCAAGCGGGGCCACGGGAGGCTCTGAAACCAAGGGCAAGTCCTCTGGCGAGATGCATTTCTAAAGGTGAGGACAGCGCACCTGGCACGCACATTGCTTATGCTGATCTATGGACGGATCTGAAAAGCACCAGGAGGCATTCCATGCGTCCTCAATGCGCTTGAGGTAGGTGACCACGAGGCGGTTCTTGTCACTCTAGCGAGGCTCGTTGAAGTCCTGTCTGATGAAATCCCGAGTGTCGTTGTGGAGGCTCTCTTTGTCAGAGGGCCTACACCAAGCCGCCTCGTTGTTCGGCATGAGCGCCGGCTTGAAAGTGTTCTGAGAAAAGGCACATGTGTGTGGCATCTTGAGCCCAGGCTCAAAAGTGTTCTCAAAGCAAAACACCTCTGGGCGTATCTTGCGGTATCCTTTTTGGGAAGCAAGTGGATGGTGCGGAGGGCTCTGAGATGCCCTCAATCCGTGGATCCGCAGCCCGCGCCAGGTGTTTGCGGACCAGGCGGTGGTGAAGGAGTCGCGGCCTTGGAGCCGTGGAGCCATGGAGCCGATTCCAACTGTTTCAAGCCAATTGGACCGTGGGGGAGGCCTGTAGCTTCCATTTGCTGAAATGAAGATTTGTTGATTTTCCCTTGTTGGTTTTAAAGGGAATCTATCACTACTGGAAATATATTTTTTGTTTTCCTGGGGGCTTAAGCAAATGGAAGCTAGGGACCCTTGTCTTTGCTCAAAAGGGCTGGGTATTTGAGGGTTTCACTTGAAGTCAGGGTGGCGAGTTACTTGTAGCCTGCCCTTTGTTGGGTTGCCCCAGCAAGCCGAAAATCACCCATGGTGCGCAAGCAGGTCAACTGCGAATGACTTTTAGCTGGACATGGATGACGTTCTTGGAAGAGAGACACCTGCGGATTTATGTGGAACAACTCACCTGTTTAAAATCAGACAGCTTCGGTCAGATGGTATTTTTCGCCGCGAGCGGCCTTCCGAGCTCGGCTTAGGCTCAAGCTTTCCGCTTTTTCGCCATCCGTTTCTGTCGACACTCATGGCGTCCATGGCCGTTGCGGAGCGTGCAGACTGCGCCATGTTCAACCAGATGGGCGCGGGGGCTGCCGTGCGCGTTGCTGGCAGATGCAGCTTCGAGACCAACCAGTGGGTGCTCAACACGACAGATGGAGGCAGCCTGCCGGTGAGCCTGACCCCCGGTGCCTTCGCAATATGTTTTTATTCGATGGCGGGTGGTGACCAGGGTCGAAGAGTTCGGGAGTTTGAACGCGATCACATGGCAACCGATGACATCAGATGACAGCGTTGTTTTTGGTTGGGGATTCGGTGGTTGTGCCATGCACGACAACGATAAACATGGAACTCCAGTACGCCAGTCACGTGCCGGTGCGGGCTAGGCAAAAATGCCATCTCGAGCCACCTTGCCACTCATGTTAGCTTGGTTCAACTCGGAAGGATTCAGAAGGCTCATTGACTCATGGCCATTTTGGAGAGGTGTTGCAATTGGGGGAAACCTCATTTGGACTTGAGACTCTCATAGCTGAGACTCTCCTGACCTTGAGACCGGTCATCCGCATCCGCGTCCGTCGGGGGTTCCGGTTCGGCCGGGTTCAGATGGCCGGGTGCTCTCTGGAGCTGCCTTGATTCAGATGCAACCTTAAAGAAAATTGGGCCCCCAACAAGAGTCTCCCCCAGCCAGTTTTGTGGTGTTTTTGGGTTCAATGTTCATCTGAAGTTCTCGTGGGCTGATGCTTTTGGGTGTTGGTGGCTGCAGCTCGGCCAAACGCATTCCTTCAATCACTCTTTTCGTTTCGAACCAGAAGCCGGGACAGGCGCTTCAGGACAGCCAGGCCTCGGAACGTGCTGCGTGTACTTACGTGGTGTCATCCCCTTCGGCCTCGTTGAAGCGATACGTACTGTACACATTTTTGGGATGCCCCCCTTTGGACCTAAGCAGAGAACCAGACTCTGCGGTTCTTTGGAGATCCCAGCCTCAGCCTTCGGCGTTTTTGTGCTTTCACCATTCCTTTGTGTGTGCGTGTGTTCAATTTTTTCCTGGGGGGGGAAGTAATCATGGAAGTGGGCGCCGGCCCCTCCAACAGGACACTAGCCTTCTAGAACCCTGTCCACACTTCTTAGCAAGAGGGTTTTCTTGAATCCACCAAGCAGAACCATGTTGAATCAGCGGGTTTCTTAGCCAACATCCACTTCAAAGGGTTTCCCCCAAATTCGCCCAAGGTGTGGTTGTAACCCCAATTTTCCGGCTTCCCGTTTTACAGGGTGTCCGGTTTTTTGTGGGCTCCGCTCGCGTCCGCTGGGCTCGCTCGGGGGCCCGCTCGCGTCCGGCTGGAGGCCTGGACCCCGGCGCGGGCAACGTGGAGCTGGTGGGCACCAAGGGGCCCCAGGGCCAGCTCTGCGCGGTCTCCGTGGCGCAGCTGCCGGGGGAGATGGACGCGGAGCTCTGGAACCAGGCGAGCGGCGAGCGTTTTTTTTGGTTTTTACTTTTGAGTTCCCCCCGCCCGAAAAGGGCGGGGGAAAGGTGTCGTTTTTGTTTTTGGGGCCGGGAGTCAATGTTTTTTTTTTTTTTTTTGTGTGTGTGTTTTTTTGAGGGGCGGCCCTGTGTTTTTTTGCCCCACCCGAAAATGGCGGAAGGGGGGGGAGGGGGGGGGCGGGGCGCAAATGTGTCGTCTTTGTTTGGGGCCAGGGGGCAATGTGTCGTTGTCTTTTTGTTTGGTGTTTGTGTGTGTGTGTTTTTTGAGGGGCGGCCCAGTTTTTTTTTGGGTGGGGGAACTAAAAAAACCCACCTTAAGAAAAATGGTGTGTCCTGTTTGGGTTCTTGGTTTGGGGGCATCCCATTTTTGTGTGGGTTTCAACGGGACGCCAAGAAAAGAATCTCCACCCAAAATGGGCGTGCCCTTTTTGTTGAGGGCATCCCTGTTTTGAGGGTTTTAAAGGGACGCCAATAGGAAATTCTCCATTTTCGGGGAGCTTGAGAAAAAGACACCCCCCTCCAAATGTGAGATTTTAGGATAAACTATGTGGGTATGGGTGAACATGTTTCACCACCAGGAAAAAGCGCGGGTTTTAATTCGTCTTTGGTTGTACTTACCAGCTACCTATTTTTGACCCACAACCATTTGTGTTTGGTTGTTTTTGTATCTAAGGATAGGGTAGACTAAATATTGGGCCAGAGTCAAGCCACATGTTTTCACATGTTTTTAGTTGCTGCAAGCATAGGTTCATCAATCAGGGGTTGATTCTTTCTGGGTTATTGATGGAAGCCTCATAGTGAGTCGGGTTCCGCTGCCCCAATATTTTTATGCCATTGTGGTGTCTCACTGATTGCGAAGTAGAGTTGGGGATCCCCTCCAGTTTGACCAACCTGGGTAAACGATGATCAATTTCCGAGGGTGGAGAACGGGCTTTCTTCCTTTTGGTTTCACTCCAAGGCCGAAATTATCTTATTTTTGTGCCAGGGATTTCGGGTGGGGGAACAAATCCCTTGCATGGGCCTTTTCGGAGTTCTCAGCAAGAGCAAAACAATGTGGAGGAGTGAGGGGTTGCCGCGGTCAAAACGTTTTTACTTGGGGTTGGTAGGAGTCGTCATCAAACACTCTAAATTATAGGGATATTCGAGGTCCGATCCATGGCCATGACCCACATGAGTTTTGACCCACGTGGGCCAACCTTCCCAGTGGGGGTGGCGGGGACAGCGGAGGGTTGGGCGGTGGGTGCCATGGCAAGCGTGGGCTTAAGGCGGCCATGGCAGGGTAAGCGTGGAGGTTGATCAGCCTGCGTGGGCTAGGCAGGTGGATCGCTTGTTGGGAGGTGCACTGCTCCCGGGCGACCATTTGTGACCATCAAGCTGATGGACCAGGTAGTTCTGGCCTTTCTTAGCTCTGCTCGGCTTTCAGGCTTCGTTCTGGGTGACCTCAATCAGCCCAACCATCAGAGGCAGTCTGATGGAGCAGGTTGGTATGCTGGGCACAGTGCTCGCTGTGCAGTGTGAAGGTAGTGGATGGATCTTGCCGATGTGTGCCATGTGTGCCGCGGCAATTGTTGGCATAGTCTCTGCGCATCGAACGTCAGCATCTTTGGCGCCACCAATATTTTCCATTCACCTGGATCGTCAGGCATCGAAAGCCTTGCATGCCTCTGTGAATCAGGCTTGTGCCAGTGCCTTCCTACAGTTCCAAAGGCTCATGGAGCGGCCCCTGATTGATTATGCGCTGCATGAGGATGACGCCGAACGGTGTCCGGGCCGGGCTGATGACGCGCCTTGTTTTATGGGGAGCGCAGCAGGCGTTCCAGTGTGGCTGAGCGGCTGCGGTGTTCCCCTGCGACTCGCGCCAAGATGGATGGGCCGACGCAGGATGAATCCAACAAAGAAGAACAAAGGGATTCCTGTGGATTCGTCTCCGCTCACAGCACCGCCAACAGCTTTGATCCCTGGGGAGCGCTAAGCTTGCGCGGGGTTGGTCTCAAAGACGACTAGTTTTCAGGATAAACAAATGTTCTGTTGTTTTCCTTAGCCGTTCCTAGAACATGACCTTCCTAGAAGATGGCCCACACCCATTCGGTACTTCCTTTGGTGTCTCTTTGCCTGGGAACAAGTTTCCGCTTATTTTTGGCACGATCAGAATGCAGGCGGTGCAGCTGATGCAGCACCCCAAGATGCGGCACCTCTTCCAGCCCCAGTCAGGATGTTGAAGGCTTGGATGGGTGTTTCTGGGAAGCGAATCAAAATGCCTCCCAACATTGGAAAGGATGATGTTCCCTTAACATGGAACAACTCCCCTTTAGAGAGGGAACCATCGTTTAGAAAACACATTGGAACCGGTCCCAAAAAACAGATTTGTGTCCTTAGTCTACCCGCTTCCATGTAGGTGGATAAAAGGGTACGCTTTGGAAGCAAATCGGGGCACTCTCCCCCTCGCTAGTCACACAGTAAAGCCTGTGGGGGGCTAACACCAATGCGCCATTGTATTAACACAGTTTCGGTCGTTGGCTGGCATACCAGCAAGGACTGCGGCAGTGGAATGATCTGAGGGGGCTGCGTGAGGTTTGAAGGTTTGAAACGGATAGCTCGCTTGAGCCGAAACATTTTGCACAGCTTGGCGATGTGCGCTGGGACTCAGACTGTGTCACAGTCTGGCGCGGGGGGCGGCAAAAGTGACAGTGCGGCATGCAGAGTTTTGTTCCAAAAGCAAAGTAGTGGTGTGTACAAAGGCAACCTCCTGGTTTTAGGCAAAGGAGCTGACAGGTTTGAGAAAGCTCTTGGCAAGGGTGCTCTGTCCGACTCCTCCACTTGCTTGGGCACAGGCTGGCAAGGTTTGTTTATGCATGCGTCGAATGCGATTTTGGTCAACCCTTTCGGCAATTCAACGCACATCCGATTACAATGCAAAGAATTGTTGTTTTACTGTGGTTGCTTCGGTCAATGCGTCGTAATGTTCACTGCCAAGCTTTGCCAGCAAAAAGGAATGGAGTCTTGCGGGGATCCTGATGGCTTTCTGGGCCTGGGTGTTTTGGTCCAAATCTAGTCTTGCTGACCTGCGGCCAGTAGGGTTGTTCCCACCAACTGGACCAACCTCCACGGCAGTTGTTTATTTGGGCAACACCTCCAGGTGCATGCGCAACTGAATACTTGTGTCTTGTTTGTTTTGCCCGTGCAGGAGGGAAAGAAACCAGCAATCTGGAGGGCCTTATACTGGCCTTTACACAAGCATAGCCGCAATAGTGCTGGTCCCGTTACTTTTCTTGTCCTCAAGGTTTGTCAAAGTCAGAAACTCAGCTTCTCTTCGACGGTGATCTTGAGCCACAATCAAAACCCGGATTTGTGAAGGTAAGGGGACAGTCACCAGAAATCAGTGAGGTTTTGTTTGTGACCCAAATGAAGCCAGTGATATTACTCCAGGTCCCTTAAACTGCGCATCTTGAGGTTTTGGGTAGATCTGGCCCCCATGCAAGGTTTTGTTTCTGATTCTATTGAAGCCAGTGAGAGAAGGTCCCAAAGACTGCACTTTTGAGGGTGGATGTCCTTCAAACCACCACTTAGAGGGGTGAATTTGCGGATGTCACTTTCATGGACGCGGTGGAACCAACAGTCACCGGATTGTTGGCCCCTCAGATCTTAGGTCGGACTTTGCCAGCCGCCTGCAGCAGCTTGGAGTGGACAAGGCGGGCTTGGCTCTTTTGGCAATATGGTTGTGGGTCAAAACCAATGAATGGGATCCCATTTGGGGGTAGGTGCACCACCCATTTTAGTCCATTTTAGTGGGGATTGGGATGTTCACTGGGGGTTTGACCCATGGCCATATGTGTCAAAATGGGAGAGCCCCAAAGCTGAGGGTTTTCCTTTGGTTGCAGTTTAAACTAAGGTGAAAAGAGTGTCCTCTGAAAAGCATGCCCACTTGGCTTTATTTTGGTTTCCCATGGAGAACAACAGGATAGTCATGTTGGTTTTTCGTTGAACGTGGAAAGGATACCTGATCTTGACAGGCTGACTCTGATGTTTGAGCTTGAACATTTTGCTTGTTGGTGAGGGGGGGTTGAAGAATCTAGTAGGATACAGCTGGCTTCGCAACGTTGCAAGCAACTCACTATTGACATACGCATTTGCATGTCTGCATTAATACAGTTGTGCGTACGTATATTCCCGTCCATAAAAGACGTCACTTGGATTCCCTGTCCCATGAATGCAATGAGCCAATCCTCGCATCCATCAGCTCCGCAACATTTTTTTCAAAGTGCCCTTCGAATGATTCAGCCTACAAGCCAACGGAGGACGTGTCTTGCTTGTGTCCTGACAAAGAACATGCTGCAACTCCGCCAAGGTCAATCTCAACTAGATGTGAAAGTCCCAGCGAAAAAGATGTGCAATCAGCCTTCCTTCTGGAAGGGTTTTCTCAGCTTGCCCTTGAAACTTTGCAATGTGAACACCGGATCAAGACATCCGAGTTTACGCGGGTGTCACCCACAAAGTGAAGCATTACGACCAAAGGGACACACACACACACACGCCATTGAGAAATCAGGGGGTTTCCGCACAGTAAAGTATTGGGTGCCTGGTTCCCTTGGTGCTTACAGAGCCAAAATCGCGACCCCGGAACTCGGGATCGAGCCCCTTAATGCGGATGCGCCTGAGTTTTCAGGGTAACAGGGGCATCCATCAATGTAGGGCAAATGATGGCCAAAGACCCAGGCAACTCGTTTTCCATTTCCTTGCTTGTAAGTCAGCTCATGCAAGCGGCACATTTCTTTTTTGCCGCTTTGGACTACCAAGGGTTCGTGGCATCCTCTCATGATCCACTGGCGATTTTTCGGAGGCGACTTCGCAGACCTGGCTTCAGCTGATGCGCCCTTGGTTTAGGGCGCAGGTTTGGTCTTTTGGTTGCGCAGTTCCTTGCCGGCTTTCAGAAGGGAATGGCATCATCCTTTGGAGTCATGCCTTGTGGTTTCCTTTTTGGGGATGTTGGTTGACAGGGATTCCACCTGTTTCAGCCTGGTCCTTCCACTGTGATGGTACTGAGCCACATCTGCACACTGAGCGCCCACACAGTCCGGAAGTTTGGACATGTGTGGAACTTCAGTTCTTGCCCCCGTCAACTACCAGGGACTTTGCTGCACAGCCATCTTGTTACAGTAGACACTTACAGCGCAACGGGATGTTGAAAAGCAGTGTTTGACTTGTTTGCGGAGTATACTTTTCAGGAATACCACTTTTGTGGTCAACAACAAGTTTGTTCGAACCTTTTGAGCCCTATCCATTCAGGAAGTGAGTTGATTCTCCATACATTTGCAAGTGTATGATCTTCAGTGAAATCGGACTGTGTAGCTATCGTGTTGGAGCCATAGACTTTGTCAGTTGTATATGAGTCACATAGCGCCTGCTTCTTGGTCAGGAATACTGTTGAGCCTGCTGCAGGTACTGGTTATTGGATGTTTATCGTTTGGTTCCTCAATCCTATTCCTTGCTATTCGAAGTGCTAGAGGACTCAATGGCCGGGGGCTGAAGTGATTTGGACTGCGATTGCCACCAGATTTGACAAGACCCCACAGAAGACCTATCTGGATGTGATTTTAGGCCCATGTCCGTTCCATTTGGCTTTGAGTCAGCTTCCTTCCAATTTCTAGGGGTTTGTTGCCTTATTGCGTTGTACCCCACCCCGTTTCTGATAGAAATCCCAGGCTCCCCGTATTTCCCTACCTTTAAGGGTGATTTGCTGGGTTGTACCCGTACCCCCCATTTTGGAAAGACATGTCCAAGCCTTTCGAAGCACATGATTTACACTTGTGGGTTCATTCGCTACACTTTCTTTCACTGAAACTCCTTTTGATCTCTTGTATCTCTGATCCGCTGATAGATCCACTGCACATGATTTCCATTGGGTTCATTCGCAATAAGCCGTATTCTTTGGGACAGATCCTCTCCCTTGCGCGCCAAGCCCCGATCCCATGGGCCTGGAGCGCGCCAAGCGACGGAAGGTACCCCGCCGGGGTGCCGGCGGAGGGCGTGGGCCGCGGCGCCTGCGAGATCTTCTTGGCGACCACGCCGGCGGTGAACCAGAAGCGCCAGGGGCCACAGTGGGTTTTGTTTGCTTTACGGGTGCTGTGTCTGGAGGTGCTGGTTGTTTGCTTTGGGAGATTGCGACAGATAGTTCTGTTTTTCATGAGATGCGAGTTTTGATGTGCGTTGGTTTTGAGTTGGCGCGTTGACGGGTTTTCGATGCTTTGTGAAGGTGCTGTTGGGCATGTTGCCTTTGCAAGTCTTCCCTCCGCCCAAAAGCTGACAAGGCGTGGCGAACTTGGCAGGTGCTTGTTCTTCAAGGTTTTGGCTTGTGCTTGGAGAGTTGGAAGACCGGAACAACCCTTCCTGGAGTCTATCTACTTATTTTCTTCGAGGCGGATTCCCAAATGTCTGGAATTCCCATGTCCCCGCTGTCTGCCTCACAAAGAGCCTAGATACGCCATCTCCATCAAGAGGGCTCCAAGACTCGAGGTGAGCTGTTTGAGTCCCATTCAGCATCATCAGGGAAAGGGACATCCCCCCAATAAATGTTCGGATCCGGGTGTTCGATATAGCACATGTCCATCCCCACATGCCAGCCATTGGTTGGCACGGGCTCATTTTGTTGTCGTTGTACAAAACACTTCTGAGCCCTTCTTGCAAGTGCCATGGATCGCAGCTAACCTTCAGAGGTCGACCTCACATCTGGTGAGTCGACCTCACATCTTCGTTGCTTTTGGGCGGGTTCTCGAAAGAACCCTGCTGGTTTCCTTTTCGCCTCCAATCAAAAACAAGCTCCAGCAGGTTACCCTGAAAACAGGGGCTCCTGAGGTTGCTTTGCAGGCGGTCAACAGGAGCTCTTTTGGTTTCAACCACAAAAGCCAGGGGTGACTCTCAAATGTGCCCATGGGTCATGAACAAATCTTTTTGGGCAGTGAATAGTAAAGTACAGAAACAAATGGGGGGGGGTCAACAGGGGAAGACCTAAAAACAAGCGGGGGGTCAGAGTTTGGCTAGCCCCCAGGGGCTGGCCCAGTACTTTCTAGAATGAGTTTAACATTGTGTTGCCCTCCCTCCCACTAACATGGCAACTGAGAGGGGATCAATCTTCCAGGTACCTCCCCACAGGTGCCATGTTGGTTGGAGGAAGGGTATATTCCCTTGTGCTGCCCATATACGTTTGTGTTCCCTATTTCCACCCTTAAACATATATCATGTTTCGATTTTCAGGAGCTTCCCCGTACCACCTGCTTGAAGATATGTTTGGAGGCTGTCTTGATAAAGGGGGTCAAAGAGGATTTGGCTATTTAGGGCCACAGTTGGTTTGGCTAGCTTAGGATTGGCTTAGTGTCGGTTTGGTCCAAGCGGGCTATAGGACCGCAGAAAGAGGCGATGCTTTTCGAGGAAGTCCGCGTAGGCGGACGGGCAATCGTCTTCCAGCAGGTGGAGGAGGCGCGCCGCGCTTGCTTGCGCTGCCGCTTCGTCTCAAGGGCCGCGATCTTGTCCTCAAGCGGATCATCGAGGAGTGGACCCGGTAGCCGTGAGCGACCTTCTTATGAGCGCCGACGTCGATGTCCAAGAAGCGCAAGGCCGCAACAACCTCGCGCGGCAGAGCTCGCAAAGGCTGCGGAACGTCCCCGGCGGTGGGACTTTGACCCCGCGCTGGCACAGGCCGCATCTCTTGACTGTTGGCGGAGCCACTTGCTTTAGGTCGCCCGAGGCCGCACGCTGTGGCACGGGTGGCACATCTGCCACGACCCAAACTTGCACCACTTCTCGGCCATTTCCGCTCTCTTGGAGACGTCGGGGCTGAGCAAGCCGGAGTTGTTGGGCGCTCGCTCGCGATGCCCGGTCTCCGAGCGGGATCGGCGCGAGTGCGACGGTCCCATTGGCGAGGCCGTGCACACTGCCTCGCCAACTCGAGCTGTTTACAAGATTCTTTCGCTCGCGCGACCCTTTGCGGGCTTCGATGGGTCGCGCTCAAACTCGCGTTTTGCTTTGAAGTTTTCAGCTTGCGCTGCCATGAAATGGCAAACCCTTTGTGGACTTTCCGTGGGTCAACACTAAATACGTTGCGGTTTTCTGCGTTTTCACTTTCGTGGACTGGAGAGAGGCGGAGAGTGGGAGAGAGGGGGAGAGAGAGAGAGAGAGAGAGAGTGAGAGAGTGAGTAAGAGTGAGCGTGAGAGAGAGGATGAGAGAGGACGGAAAGCGAAGAGTGACAGAAAGTGAAAGAGAAAGGCAACGAGAAAGACAGAGTGAAAGACACAGAGAAGCAGAAAGAGAAAGAGAAAAGGAGACAGAGACAGAGCAAGACAAAGCGCAGGACGAAGAGAAGCAGGAAAGGGCGACAGAGAAAGACAATGAAGAAGGAGAAAGAGAAAGAGGAACAAGAAGAAGAGAAAGATAAAGACCAAGCGATTGTTCTAGTCTTGGTTTAGTACTGTTCTAGTTTTGCCACAGCCGTCCAGCCATATTCCCCCCCCCCCCCCCGAAACATACTTTTCTGCTATCTTCCATTCCGTGTTTGCAGAACAACGAATCATTTGGCGAACACTTTTTTGTAACCAGGCGACTGATCAATCGCTATCCGGTATGAATGTGATGTCAACCCTGCTCCTTCTTGGGTTTTCAAGGTCCCGAAGAGGATCTACTCGGGCCACTTCGTTAAACGGCCACATTTACCAGTCGAAATCAAACAAAGGGAACTTGCAGGTGGGGGTTGATCAACAGGCCCTTTACATGGGATGACCAAAAGGAAACCACAAAAGAAGCGATATCCTTGGTCATGGGGCCAACTCCCAAGTTTTGAATGCATTCTTCAAGCCCGGATTGGGGGCCAACTCCCAGGTGGGTTTTGGGATGCATTCTTCCAGCCCGGATTCCTTGAATTCCTTTTTTGTTTTTTGGGACTGAAGCGCCAAGGTGCAGGCTCCATGTCCAACGGCCCGGACCTGCGTGCAGAGCTCGTCAAGGATGCTGAGGCCCCTGGCGTCTTTTTCTCGGGTTCAAGGAGGCACCCGCCCGGTTTTATGGAGACGGAAAGGGAACTTCCATTTCTAGGTCCCCCAGTAGGGTTCCCCTACTAAGATAGACTGAAAAAGGGTACCCTTATTCTAACCTCTACTGGAGGACCTAGATTTGCTTCAGAATATGTTTAATTCCTCTCTACTTGCCGAGAGGGAAAAACAGAAAGGAATAAGGATGTGTTGTTTTCCCTTCTGGTTTTACTCGTACAGGGAATCTATCACGACTGGACATTAAATGTGTTTGTTCTTTTTTCAGGGGGCTTGAGCAAATGGAAGGGACACCAATTCTGAGGAGGACCAATTTTGAAGGAAGGTGCAAGGACGCCCCATTGGTTATTGGTTACCTTTTTTGGTGTTGAAGGGAAGCGAAACAGCTGATGAACCAAATTGGAAGGTACTCTCTAACCTCCAAACCACCAACGCAAATCACCAATTGGTCATGTGAAAATGTGTAGGCTTCTGTTGGACCATCTGGGGAATCCACGGAACAACTGGGACCACATGTTGACCCAGAAACGGAGGTTTATCTCTGGGGCACCAAGAGTTTTTAGACACCTCTTTGGGACCGGCTGAGAGGGACATCGGCAGGCGCCCAACCGTTTGGGAAACCGGGTTTGACATATTCCTCCTGGGCGGAGCAATGACCAAACTCAGCCCCGAGGTCCGCTTCGGAGGAAACGTTTTTTGTTGGTTTTCGCTGGAATGTTTACCTGTGACAGGATTCAGCGTCGCCCCAAGGCAACGCGACAAATGGGAGTCGTTGAGATCTGGCTTTGCACCGCAGTGTTGACTTGTAGTTGTTGGCGGCCCAACATGCCAATAGAGCTCTTCTTACGGACAGAAGTGCCCCATAGGCCGCAGAGTTGGTCAGTTGCTGAACTGGCGTGTCTGATTTCGAGTGTGCAGGCCATGATTTGTGGTGCTCCAAACCAGCTGTCCAAGAAAGAATGAAAGAGCAGACCCGCTTCAATGAGACGCCCAGGCGCTGGGTATCGCTGGGCTGCCAAGATGGGTGGCGCGGGCCTGAGAACCGGGAGTTCGCAAGGAGCTGGCGCCGTGCCGCTCGCTAAACCCTGGGAGTCCCAAGTGAAACCAAGATGCCGTTAGGTTGCGCAAACCTCGGGACATGTCGGTAATCATCGGAGGGGAGGCACTGGCTCCAGGCTGGCGTCGCAAGACGCAGCAAAACACAGAGAGCGAGAGAGAGTGGGAGGGCGACCGGAGGTTTTAGTTGAGTTTCCCTCACACCATTGGTTGCACTCTGTTCGTGTCGCTGCTTTGACTTGATTCAGTCAGCACGCCTCCAATCAGGAAAGTTTGGAGGCAATGAATTCCATGATTGCATCGTTTGTTTGGAAGCTGTGAACAGTCATGTGTGAGCAACTGCGGCAATACCCGGGGAGGATCTTCCGTGTCAGAGGCAAGCGGAAAACATTGGTTTGCCATGATGTATCGCTTGCCAGGTTTTCTCGCACTATTGGGGATTCCTTTGAGGGACTTCTCGTAGGGGGCGCGCATCAGGTGGTGTCCTGCCACGCATCGCCTCAAACCCACTGCGTCCGCGGGTCCTACTTCGTACTTGCCGGCTTGAGACAAATCCAAGTAATTACTCTCCCACCAAGGGGTCCTTTGAAAAGGACAATCGCCTTCCAGGACCCCCCTGTCACGTTCCATGTTGATGCGTGGGAGGGTATCTAAATATGTGTGTGTATATATATATATATATACACATATATATATATATACATAAATATAAGCTTGGCACGTAAGGTCGGCGGCTTCCCTTTGAACGCATGAGACCATCGAACTGGGCATCAAGTCGGAGGCCCCCGCTCAACCTGCTTAAGCCGCTCAGGCCATCCACCTTTCAGCCCCTCGCCAGCGCCCTTTTTGCGCCTACACATATCAGAGCATGTTCCCTAACCATGGGTCGGGTTGTCCCACAGAGCCGCATCCAACAGCATCCAACAGGCCTGATCTTTCCTCCCGAAGGCATTGATATGGTTTCTTCCAGCTCACCAACCTTGGTCAAAGCAGGGCTGACACGCAACTTGTTTGGGTGCAGGCACAAACATGTGGCCATGGGTCAAAATCCCGTACCCCCAAGTGAATCCCAATTCCCACTAAAATAGGTTCCAGTTTGGGTGGTGCACCTTGGTACCATTGGTTTTGACCCACAGCCACGTGCGCGCCTCTAGGATGCAGAATGCTCAAAAACTGCTGCAACGGTTCCAGGCGCCGACCAGGGCCTTGGCGCTGCTGAAGCTGCGCATGCCGGAGGCACGGCTTGTCGGCTTGACGGCCTGGGCTTTGAGTATGGAGATGGGTAACACGAACGATGAAATGCGAATGAGCGTGCTTTGTGTCAATTCTGGCTTTTGCTTGTTTTACCATGAAAGTGGAGGTGTGGGGTCGTTGCAACCCATGGGGAAGCTGGTGCAGGCCGTTTTGGTGATGCTGGGGATGCATTGCTTTGGTGGGGAAGCTGTTCCTGGAACAGGACGAACCCTTTTCCCTACTTTATGTTCTCTGCGTCAGGGAGCGACAAACACCTAGGGCTGGGGCACAGCTGACGGCAAGCTTGGAATCTAAGAATGGCGCGACGCTACGGTTGTGTCAGCATTCGGGATCGGACTTTGGCATGGTCGGAGGCATTCGCTAAGCTGAGAAGTCATTGGAGGACGAGACATTGCTCCCATGCCGTCTTGCCAGGGTTTCTTTCCTTGGATCCAAGGAATAGTGTTCAAGGCGGCCATCTCACATGGCACATATCTCGTTGCCTTGGGCCGGAAAGCTGGTGACGACCATAAGGGCCATGAGCGGACACGCGGGAGCATGGCATGGGTTGCTCGTTTGCCCCTGGGCCCCTTCTCTCTTTATGCCTTTTCCCAGAGCTCCGGGCGACCTGAAGGGAAACCAACCCCATCGGAATCGCAAGCCTTCACTTTTTTCACATTCAAAGATTGCCCTCTCCTTTTGGTCCACATCCGCGATGCCTAGGGGTCCTTGGTGGGATGAGGTTTGCAGCTCGGACTACGGGGCCCCTGTTTTGTAAAGCCAAACTGGGCGTCTGGTCCAAGGCGTGCTTGGCATGCATCCCAGGATTTGCAGAGCAACTCAGGAGGGCCAAGCTTATGATCCTGAGAAATATTATCGTTTTCAGGCTGCGGTGTTTGCCGTTCACGTTCTCGTTCTTTTGTTATGCTTGGCTGTGTGGGGGAAACGATCAATAGACGACCCAGGTCCCCTTTTTTCCTTCGCTGATATCGGTGTCCTTTTGCTGAAGAATCCCCTTTGGTTCTCAGAAGAAAGCCAACACGACACTGACCTTCCTGCTGGTTCCGTTGGGTTTGGGCACTCTCTCTCCCGCTCTCCCTCCCTCTCTCTGTCTCTCTCTCCAACTTGCCGGTCCCCCTAGGGAACACCCCCATGGGAACCCTCTACTTTCCCAACCTCAAGCGACTCCCTTCGTTCGGGGTCCGAGGACGCCGAGAGACACTTGCGCCTGGTGGCGGAGGCGTGAGATCGGGTCTGGTCACAAAGGTGGGGTTTCCAGAAGCTACCAACTGCAAGCGGTGGAGGTGTTCTGTCGTTCTGGCCATCTTATTCGAATCCTGGCCTCTCGTGCGAAAGTCCAAGGAACCCAGGAAACATGGCGCGACTTGCTGCTGGGGCTTTTGGAGCGCGTGCCAGGCATCCAGAAAGTACGCGCCGCCTGGGGAGGAGGCGCGGGGCGCGGGATGCAGATGTTTTTGGCGTTGCCTCATGTTGAACACGTTTGAATGCGAGCTCTTCATGGTACAGGAGCCTCCGCATGTGAAGTTTATTTCGGGGATGTCTCATGCATGATCATATTCTTGCCTTCCCTCACCACGCAGACCAAGCGAGTGGGAGATGCTATCAACAGAATGGTGAGCCTGGGTGTTTCAGCTTTGCTTTGTTGCTTGTTTGCTCGATCTGTGAGACATTCCATGAGATGCCACGACATTCCAGCATGTCACGTTCGCCCGAATCGCATGCTGATTGACCCATGGGAGTGGAGATTGGCAGAGAAGGGAAACACGGGGAGCAAGGGAAACACGGCACACAAGGGAAACAAGGCGAGGCAAGAGCAATACGGGACACCATGACACTTGTTTCTTGACCAGAACAAGAAAGCAGAAAGGTCCCCGCCCGGAGCACCACCAGCATGACCAGACACGAAAGCTCTGCAGGCTTTTCGCCATTTCTCTATGAATAAGCGCACACACACATGAACAACGAGTTTCAATCAAGTGCAGCTGCAAGGTACGAAGAGAAACGAAGTCAAGCGTGACGCCAACGACGTGTTTGAGCAACTGTGCGTGTACCTATTGAGAATCTCTCGGGACGGCGCATTTTTGCTTGCTTGAAGGATCAACCACTGCAGATTCAGGGCCGTGTTGAAGTCAGCTTTGGGGGAGCGGGCTTGGAGCAAACTTTCCATCACTTTTGTTTCATGACCAGGGGAATTCGGCGAAAGTAGGGCGCTTGATTTATTTTCATTTGGTGAGCGTGGCTGGTTCTGTTGATGTCATTGTACATGATCAGGTTCCCAATGATATGGACGGTGGATTTGGTTCGGCCCGAGGTACTGTATTTCCACATATGCGCCCATGGTCCATGGTGCCTCGAGGCTAGAGCCCAACATAGCTCAAAACAGGGACAAGCTGCCAGATACAAGCTGTTTGTTCGAACCCTCCTACAGTTCATTGAACAGTTTCCCACCCTGAGCCTTGGGGCCTTGGGGCCTTGTCAGGTGATCGTCGGGACCAGCCCGGGAAAGACGGAGGAGCCCCTGCGCCGCGAGCTCAATGGCTCGAGCGGCTGCGAGGGCGACCAAACAATGAAGCGGCTTGCCCCCCCCCCCAAAAAAAAAACCTGCCCGAGAAAAAAGCACACATAAAAGCAAAGAAACACGAAACAGAACAAAGCAAATAATAAATCTAAACCCTAGGCTTCCAAAGGCCATTAAAAGAATGGTCGAGGTCGCTAGACTGTTTTCTGCCGAAAGACCGTTTTTTGCGCCTGGCCCTGAATATCCACAAAATCATGGTTTTTGTTGCCCAAGAATTGCTTAGGGTCAGGTCACTGACAGTTACCGCGCCCTCATCCTCCCAGCTGCAAATGACTGCACCCAAGCCACTCATTCCCCGGCTTGCAAAATGTAGGGTCACATCACTTTTTAAAATCGCCAGGTGTCCCGCCTACCGTATATACATGCATAGATTCTTCGCATGTTGGTACCGAAGTCCGGCTTTTTTTGAAAAAATGTTGCAAACTTAGTGGCTTCGGGGCATCGCTGCCGATCAGGCATGCGTTGTGGGCTCCTGGGGGTATGGTTTGTCCACGCTTTTAAATGTACTTTCCACGCTTTTAAACGTACTTTCCACGCTAAAAAACGTACTTTCCACGATTTGTCCAGGGTTTGTCCACGCCTCATTTTCTTTCGATATCGATTAAACAATCAACAAACCACGCGATCAGACTCTGTGGAGCTGTGGACAAGAAGTGAAAAAGCATGCACGGGCATGTGAGGGACAAGCCAAACTGACACAGCATGGTGACGGCGTTTGATTACAGCGGGATGAAGCGACTCTAACACATACTTAGCATATTTCAGAAAAGGCAACAACAAAGTTCTTTAACCTCTCACTGCACAGAAGCGCGGGGATGTCAGGAGCCAGCCGTCTCAAGTTGGCCAAGCTTGTCTAGACCTACTTTTAACGGTCGAGGGACATTACTTTTATAGCCTTTTCGTCTTTTTAATGGTCGAGGCTATTTAAAGAATAGTCGAGGAAGCATAGGGTAAACATAGTTATAGGGTCAATGATGATGATGTCCATTTTTTTTTGCGGGGGATGTCACTGCAATCCTTGGGTCAGATGCGGCTTTGCTTGAAGAAGATAGACAAGGGTTGTTCCTTGATTGGTTTGGCATTTATACTTTGAAGGGAGGAAGACAGGAGCTTTCCAAAGTTGCTTTATCGAGTTGGGTGCATTGTCTAGTACTGGTTTAGTGAAGGTTTAGTATGGTCTACTGCTGCTTGCAAAATAACCCCCAGTGCGACTGCAGCTGGGGTCCACAAAAGATCCAGAATTTAGAATTGGTTTAGTATTGGCTAGTTCTGATTCAGTAGTGGAAGCCCGCCACTGCGTCCTGGCACACAGACGCATACCTTTCCATGTTCGAGAGTGCCAGATGCCCCGAAAGGAGAAAAGTTGTCAGGGTGGATCCAAGACCCAAAAGAAACCGCTCAGAGGTGCCGGGGGGGGGGGTCCGAGGTCCGAGGTCCCAGAAGCAGCATAAGAGCGCGGCCTTTTTGGACGCCCGGTGAGTCCAAAGGGAACTTCTCTGTCCCTTGAGCTTCAGGTTTGAAGGCCCGATTGATGTCCCAAGGCTCCGAGACGCTGCTCCTTTGCGTGGAGCGTGCTCAGGCTGGTCCGCCCCTCCCCCCTTGGCCCCTTGCCCCTCCCCCCCCCCCCCCCCCCCCCCCCAACGCCCGGAGGTTTCCTGTCAAAGAAGGATATACAATTCATGTGCACGAATTTCATAGCGTTTCTTTGCTTCACTTTTGGGTGGCCAACGCGTCCGAACTCCCCATGCCAACCTAGGCACCAGGCTCGGCGGATGCTGCCCACGAAAGTCCGCCCACCCGCCAATTTCCGGTTTGCGATCTGTAAAAATCTGACCAGATCTTCTGCCTACCATGTTGGAGATGCTTGTGGTCACCGATGTTGGCACCTTGCTCCCCTTGTTCCGTCAAAGTGCAACCAGCAATGCCAAAAGCAGTTCGTTGGGTCCATGGCTCCTTCTCCCGGATTGTTGCAAGTAGAAGATGGGCCGTCGGAGCATGTTTGTCTTCCAGCTTCATGTCTCTCCCATACAGGAAGAACGACTTGCAGGAAAAGTGTGGAACATGGGGACCCGCCCGTACGTCTTTGCTCTTTTGTACTTGAAGCGTGCTTGAAGCGGGAGAGACAGGCGCCCCTGGCTGGCCAAACCGGTGAGGGGAGGCTGTTTGCATTAGACCAGTCCATGACCCCGGCTGGGTCTCATGCATCGCTTTGCCATGGCAGCGCTGGATGTGGCCTTCCCCAGCCCTCGGTTCCGCCTCCAGAAGTTTTAACAGCACTTGTGCTCCCTGAAGCGCAGGGCCTTGTGCTTGGCACCGCTGGTTGATGCGCAAATTCGGAGAGGTTGTCGCCTGTTCACAGATTGGATCATTCAGTCTCGACTTGGGCTTTTGAGGCTTTTTCATGTAGAGGGGTTCGCCTGGCAGACGCGTGACTGCGTGTGAATGCACGCCCAGCACGAACCTTCTGGGCCCAAAATGGCCAGTCCAGATTACATGGGATCCCTGAGTGCCTCTTGGCTCCCATACAGCCGTTGAATTCTCGCACCACGTTTTCCCACGAGGGTCCTTGCATTCGCCTCTCTGAGTGTTTTACACATCATTTTCTGAGCGTCTAATGAACACAACCTACGAGTATAAATTTGGTGTGATTTCCTTTGTTGTCCCTCGACTCGCCAAATTTCCGGTCTTTTTGCCGGCAACAAAATAGAAACACGATAAACAACACGTTGTTTTAAGTTTCGTCTTCGGAGGTCCCTTGTGTCCCATACTGCCACGGAGTTAACAAAAAAACTGTATCGCATCGTGGGACCGGAGCTTCCCTCGTACTGAACCGTTGCAATTTCCGAGCTGGCGTGGTTGCCTACGCTTGTGCTGAAAGGTTGCGATTTCGTGGTTGAAAGTGTAGAAAACACCAAAACAGTGCAAAGCGAGAAGGAGTTAAAAGGAGCTCTAGAAATAATTGCTTTTAAGTTGGAGGTATGGTGTGTATTTGGGTTAAGCGACGCCAGGGACACGAAGGGAAACCGACCCGAAGCCCATTCTCCGGGTTCCATATCCGACAAGAAGCCTGTGGCTTCCCATCGGCGATTTGTTAGAACCCGTTCTGGCTGCATCTGCCAGGCGCATGGGCCATCCTGAATTTCCCAAAACAACCCCGAAGGGATGGACCATGATTTTTGTGGCTTTCCAGACTTGTCTTTTCTGGGGCCAGCCAAAATGGTTGGTTTTCTTTGGGGTTCCTTTAACACCCTCAAACAGCGGGGTGCCACCAAAAGCCCAACGAATGGCCATGGTTCAAAATCAATGGGATCCCATTTTGGGATAGGTGAATTCACCACCCATTTTAGAACCTATCTTAGTGGGGATTGAATCGGATGTTCGCTGGGGGCTAATCGATTTGGGTTTTGACCCACAGCCAACTGTGTCAAGCGGTTTCCGTCCAGGCGGTGGAGCACCTGTTGGACGTGAGCTTCAGGTCTGTGAGCGGCTTCGCCGGCGCCGCGGAGGTCTTCTTGCGCTACAGCTGCCACGGCACCAGCTGCGTGGCGGATGGCCCGGTGCAGGCGCGGCGGATGGGGAGGGTCAACATGGGTATGGCTCGTAGGGATTTGGACAAATTCGGACAAATGTGAACCCTCAAAACGGGTTTCCTGGTGTTTTTTTTCCTGAGCAAAAGGATACTCTGTTCCATGATGCACTGGCAGAGAACGGTGCGAGAACACAGTTGTCCTGAAACAGCTTGGAGTCTGCAGCTTCCTTCAGCCACTGATGATAAGTACGGCCTTCTTTGTTGGACCGCTGGAGCCTTGAAGGAGACAGTTGGGCCCTTCCCAGTGGTAAACCAATCCAAGGGGTGCAAGATCCTGATTCTAACCTCTCCGGATGACCTAGTCTGTTAATTCTTGGGGAAGTGAACAACCTGGGGTAGACCCCACAAACCAGATATGGCTGTGGCTCAAAAAACCGGTACCAAAATGGAACCCTGGTAAGTGGAAATATGGGGTTTGCCCCTCCTGGTTAATTTTGAGCCACACCCATACCTCCCCAAGCTCCAGGTGACTCGCCTTTGGACTTGGTGTAGCTTGATTCCTTGGCCCGACGGCTCGGATTCTCAGGACCTGGACTTCAGCGCCAGCCACGTGTTCTGCCTCACCGCCTCGGATGCGCTGGCCTGGCTCTTCCATGACAAGGCCGGAAGCGCGGGGTTGGGGTGGTTGGGCTGGTTGGGGTGGGTAGGTGTCCCTTTTAGGTTAGTTTGGTTCAAAATAGAAGGCGCTGGTTTAGATGGTACCAGGGCTATCTACTTTTCCAAAAGGACGGAATCCTATGGGAAGGAGGTTGACACACGTGGAACCCATTCAAAACCCATTCGTGTTGGAAGGAGATTGTGTTTTTGGATTCTTCGCTCCCCAGCAGGAAGAGGCCTGAGAATTAGGGTGTGTGGTACTTCCAGACCGATACCCTCCCACCCATGTGGCCTGTTGGCGGAAATCGTCTCCCAGGAGCGCCCAAATCCTTGGAGGTTATACGTCAGTGGGTGGAACGGTTTTCTATGTTCACCAAATGCCATGTCCAATCAGATCGGAAAGCAAGGTGTCAAATTTCAGGCAAGGTGCTTCAGGGTCCAATGTGGTTTGTCAGCAGCCCAGTGAGACGGGCTTATCGGCCGCCGTGTCAATCATGTTGCTGGTTTAATTTGGGGTCAAAAGTGGCGCTCAACCCTTTCGGATTCAGACATCCATGGCGAAGCACTTTGCAGTGTCGTCATTTGAAGGGACATCATGTTAAACCTAGGGATGCCCTTATACTTAAGGGAAACCACCAGTTGGATGGTTTGCAGGGTTCATTCCCTCATTCCCCACTGAGCACCAAGTTTCGCCGTCAGCCGGAAGATTCGGCACGGGACGTCTGACTGTCGGAAGTGAGCCAGGCCTTGACCATCCAGGCCTGGGTGGCGGTGACCAAGGAGGACCAGCGCCGGCCGCTGGCGGTGGCGGTCTTGCCCGGCAAGGACGGGGCCATCCGGCGGATTTCGCTCCCCCCTCCCCGATTTCGGGTGGCTGAAGGGGAGCATGGGCCTGGCCTTTGGTTGAAAAAGCCCTTTCTGGCATTGGGAAACCAGGGGGAAACACCCATGATTGTTGGCACCGGGTTTGACTCACAAGTGTCGACACGTAAAAATGTTGGGCATGTTGAAACTCACAGATTTACGAGCTTTGGAACAATCCCCTTCTGAGTCGGGTGACTGTTCAGACGTATCTGGGAACACATCAGGTGTGGTCCATTAAAAAAGATCATCCCGACCACTTGTTGGGCTCGTCCTCACAACCCCCAAAGCTTTGGCGACTTTTTCCCCCAAACCACGCCCAACACCTTCCAACCCCCCCCACTTCCCACCCCTGCCAGGAGCTCCAGGACTTCCTGGCCTCCGCGCACGACGCGCGCCCGCGCCCGGAGCAGCTTTTGGGCTCCCAGAAGGCCTTCCGACAGCGGGTCCAAAAAAGAAGTGGGTTTGGGTGGGTTTGGGTGGGTTCGGGTGGGTTTGGGTGGGTTTGGGTGGGTTTGTGGTTGTGTTTGGGTGGGTTTGGGTTTGGGTGGGTTTGGGTGGGTTTGGGTGGGTTTGGGTGGGTTTGTGGTTGTGGTTTGGGTGGGGGTTTGGGTGGGTTTGGGTGGGTTTGGGTGGGTTTGTGGTTGTGTTTGGGTGGGTTTGGGTTTGGGTGGGTCGGGTGGGTTTGGGTGGGTTTGGGTGGGTTTGTGGTTGTGTTTGGGTGGGTTTGGGTTTGGGTGGGGTGGGTTCGGGTGGGTTCGGGTGGGTTTGTGGTTGTGTTTGGGTTTTGGGTTTGGGTTTTGGGTGGGTTTCTGGGTTTGGGTGGGTTTGGGTGGGTTTGTGGTTGTGTTTGGGTGGGTTTTGGGTTTGGGTGGGTTCGGGTGGGTTTGGTGGGTTTGGGTTGGGTTTGTGGTTGTGTTTGGGTGGGTTTGGGTTTGGGTGGGTTTGGGTGGGTTTGGGTGGGTTCGGGTGGGTTTGGGTGGGTTTGGGTGGGTTTGTGGTTGTGTTTGGGTGGGTTTGGGTTTGGGTGGGTTTGGGTGGGTTTGGGTGGGTTTGGGTGGGTTTGGGTGGGTTTGTGGTTGTGTTTGGGTGGGTTTGGGTTTGGGTGGGTTTGGGTGGGTTCGGGTGGGTTTGGGTGGGTTTGGGTGGGTTTGTGGTTGTGTTTGGGTGGGTTTGGGTTTGGGTGGGTTCGGGTGGGTTTGCGTGGGTTTGTGGTTGGGGTTTGTGGTTGTGTTTGGGTGGGTTTGGGTTTGGGTGGGTTTGGGTGGGTTTGGGTGGGTTCGGGTGGGTTTGGGTGGGTTTGGGTGGGTTTGTGGTTGTGTTTGGGTGGGTTTGGGTTTGGGTGGGTTCGGGTGGGTTCGGGTGGTGTTTGGGTGGGTTTGTGGTTGTGTTTGGGTTGGTTTGGGTTTGGGTGGGTTCGGGTGGGTTTGGGTGGGTTTGGGTGGTGTTTGGGTGGGTTTGTGGTTGTGTTTGGGTGGGTTTGGGTGGGTTCGGGTGGGTTTGGGTGGTGTTTGGGTGGGTTTGTGGTTGTGTTTGGGTTGGTTTGGGTTTGGGTGGGTTTGGGGTGGGCTTGGGTTTGGGTGTGTTTGGGTGGGTTTGGGTTTGGGTGGGTTTGGGTTTGGGTGGGTTCGGGTGGGTTTGGGTGGTGTTTGGGTGGGTTTGGGTTTGGGTGGGTTTGGGTGGGTTTGGGTGGGTTTGGGTGGGGTTTGGGTGGGTTTGTGGTTGTGTTTGGGTGGGTTTGTGGTTGTGTTTGGGTGGGTTTGGGTTTGGGTGGGTTTGGGTTTGGGTGGGTTTGGGTGGGTTCGGGTGGGTTTGGGTGGTGTTTGGGTGGGTTTGTGGTTGTGTTTGGGTGGGTTTGGGTGGGTTCGGGTGGGTTTGGGTGGTGTTTGGGTGGGTTTGTGGTTGTGTTTGGGTGGGTTTGGGTGGGTTCGGGTGGGTTTGGGTGGTGTTTGGGGTTTGGGTGGGTTTGGGTGGGTTTGGGGTGGTGTTTGGGGTTTGTGGTTGGGGTTTGTGGTTGGGTGGGTTTGGGTGGGTTTGGGTGGGTTTGGGTGGGTTCGGGTGGGTCTGGGTGGTGTTTGGGTGGGTTTGTGGTTGTGTTTGGGTGGGTTTGGGTTTGGGTGGGTTTGGGTGGGTTCGGGTGGGTTTGGGTGGTGTTTGGGTGGGTTTGGGTTTGGGTGGGTTCGGGTGGGTTTGGGTGGTGTTTGGGTGGGTTTGGGTTTGGGTGGGTTTGGGTGGGTTTGGGTGGGTTTGGGTGGGTTCGGGTGGGTTCGGGTGGTGTTTGGGTGGGTTTGGGTGGGTTTGGGTGGGTTTGTGGTTGTGTTTGGGTGGGTTTGTGGTTGTGTTTGGGTGGGTTTGGGTTTGGGTGGGTTTGGGTGGGTTTGGGTGGGTTCGGGTGGGTTTGGGCGGTGTTTGGGTGGTGTTTGGGTGGGTTTGGGTGGGTTTGGGGGTTTGTGTGGGTTTGGGTGGGTTTGGGGTGGTGTTTGGGTGGGTTTGGGTTTGGGTGGGTTTGGGTGGTGTTTGGATGGGTTTGGGTGGGTTTGGGTGGTGTTTGGGTGGGTTTGGGTGGGTTTGGGTGGGTTTGGGTTTGGGTGGGTTTGGGTCGTGTTTGGGTGGGTTTGGGTGGGTTCGGGTGGGTTTGGGTGGTGTTTGGGTGGGTTTGGGTGGGTTTGGGTGGGTTTGGGGTGGTGTTTGTGCTTGTGGTTGGGTGGGTTTGGGTTTGGGTGGGTTTGGGTGGGTTCGGGTGGGTTTGGGTGGTGTTTGGGTGGGTTTGGGTGGGTTTGTGGTTGTGTTTGAGTGGGTTTGGGTGGGTTCGGGTGGTGTTTGGGTGGTGTTTGGGTCGGTTTGGGTGGGTTTGGGTGGGTTCGGGTGGGTTTGGGTGGTGTTTGGATGGGTTTGGGTGGGTTTGTGGTTGTGTTTGGGTGGGTTTGTGGTTGTGTTTGGGTGGGTTTGGGTGGGTTTGGGTGGTGGGTTTGGGTGGGTTTGGGTGGGTTTGGGTGGGTTTGGGTGGGTTTGGGGTGGGGTTTGGGGTGGGGTTTGGGTTTGGGTGGGGTTGGGTGGTTGTGTTTGGGTTTGGGTGGGTTTGGGTTTGGGCGGTGTTTGGGTGGTGTTTGGGTGGGCGGGTGGGTGGGTTTGGGTGTTTGGGTGGGTTTGGGGTGGGCTTGGGGTGGGCTTGGGTTTGGGTGGGTTTGGGGTGGGCTTGGGTTTGGGTGTGTTTGGGTGGGTTTGGGTTTGGGTGTGTTTGGGTTTGGGTTTGGGTTTGGGTTTGGGTGGTGTTTGGGTGGGTTTGGGTGGGTTTGGGTGGGTTTGGGTGGGTTTGTGGTTGTGTTTGGGTGGGTTTGGGTGTGTGGGTTCGGGTGGGTTTGGGTGGTGTTTGGGTGGGTGGGTGGGTTTGGGTGTTTGGGTGGGTTTGGGGTGGGTTTGGGGTGGGTTTGGTTGGGTTTGGGTGGGTTTGGTGGGCTTGGGTTTGGGTTTTGGGTGGGTTTTGGGTGTGTTCTTGTTGGCTCAAAACCTGGGGTTGGGAGGGTTCCATTTTTTTTGCTCAAGAACTTTGTTTGGTTTTGATTGAAAGCTGTTGTTTTTTGAGGTGGGAGAAGGAAATTCATTCATCTTTTGGGACGAAGAATTACGTTTGGGAAAGAGCCCCAAGGAAAATGGTTACTGGTTCACTCATCCCCTTCTTCTGCTGAGAACCCCCCTTTTTGACTGGGGCAAGCTCCCAAACAGGGGGTTCGTCGCCGGTGTCTTTTCTTTGACGCTTTTTTGGAACCCCCTTTAAAGGTTGAGAAGAATGGTGTTTGAATTACCTGAAGCCACTGAGGGGCACAATCAAAAGCGACCAACAGAAGCCGGATCCCACTGCCCCAATCCAGATGAAAGACCTCGATTCGGACACGTGAAAGTCAGTTGTAGGACCTTTTGCTTTTCCACTTGGCCAAAAGGAAGAGGACAAATAGACACCTCAACCTGGACACCTTTCTTGGCTTAACATGAAGGCCCCATGTACCTCCCTCTTGAGGTACCAGGATGTCAGAATTCCCAACCCAAGCACCAGGCACCAGCCATCAGTGCACCGAAAGTCGCGGCATGGCGCCCCCGCAACTTCCGGACGCCGGCCAGGCTTGGACGCTGCCCTTCAAGGCCATCCCACCAAAGGACTGAGCAACACAAACCGCCCGCCTGCGAGCGATGAAAGCGCCGGCGTCCTTTCTGGGAAACAGCGTGTGAGATCCCCCTTCACATTCAGGGGGGGGAAGCATGACGGAGACATCCCGTCCTTGGCGCTGGGTAAGCAATTATGCATGTGTGTGTAGGTACGTATGTATGTATTCTGTATAAATGTATGTATTGCATACATACGTACGTACATACACAGAGACACACACACACATACATGCATACATGCATACATAGATGCACAGATGCATAGATGCATTGATACATGGATACCTAGATAGATACATACACACACACGCATACATACATACATACATTTATGCATGCATGCATGCATACCTACCTACCTACCTACCTACATACAGACAGACAGACAGACAGACAGACACACACACACACACACACACACACACACACACACACACACACACACACACACACACACACACACACACACACACACACACACACACACACACACACACACACACACACACACACACACACACACACACACACACACACACACACACACACACACACACACACACACACACACACACACACACACACACACACACACACGCACGCACGCAGCACAGCACGCACGCATACGCACATGTACACATACACACATACACATACACACACATACACGCACGCGTACACACACACCCACACACACACACACACACACACACACACACACACACACACACACACACACACACACACACACACACACACACACACACACACACACCACATACATACATACATACATACATACGTACGTACGTACGTACGTACATACATACATCCATAGACACACACACACACATACACACATACATGCATAGACACACACATACATACATAAACACGCACACACACACATACATACATACACATACACACATGCACACATACACACGTACACACACATACACGCATACAAAAAAACTTATACGCACGCACATGCACACATATACACACACACATACACATACACACATATGCACACATTGCAACCATTACACACATACACACATTACACATATATATACACATGTACACATACACACATACACATACACACACATACACACATGAACACATACACGCGTACACACACACGTACACACACCCATACACACATACACATACTCATATACGCACATACACACATGCACACATACACACACACACACACCTACGCACACACACACACACACATTCACACATTCACACATACACACATACACGCATGCAGACATACACACATACAGGCATACACACATACACACCTACACACACATTCACACATACACACATGCACAGATACACACATACATATACACATACACATACACATACACATACACATACACACACACACATACACATACATACATGCACACACGCATGCATACATATGTACGTACATATCTAGATACATGAACACATCAGTAGATCACAGTATATATATACAATTTATATATACACAAGCAGCTGTGCTGTGCAGAAACCCCTGTATCTCCCATCTTGGGTGGTTCAAACTCATTTGGTTCCATGAAAGCAGCTACCTGAATGACAGGCAAATGAGACTCAGCCAGGACCCCAACGCCAAGAAGGTCCCGGTCGGCTGCACCAGCGGCAATTTGGTCTTGACGCTGCACTACCGGCGCCGGCCCATGCAGGACGGCCTTTTTCTGCCAGGGGCCTGGCTGCTTGGCGAAGTGGACGTGATATTTGAGCAGTAAACAACAGGTTTGAGCGGTGTCTGGGCCAATTCACGGAAGGGGACTCGGAAGTTGATTTGTTGTTATTCTGAAGGACTTTGAAGCACAACCGAAGGGAAATGATAGCCCATATTTGGGATTCCCAATTCAGAGACATGTGATGGACTCTACCACATGTAAGGAAGCTGCTCTACAATCTAGCCAACTTAATTCGAGGAAACTCGGCATAATATGCCAGCAATGATACGAATTGTGTACGTAGCTGCGGCATGGGTGTGACGCAATCGTTTTAGCTGGCTTGCCTCAATGGTAATATGAGCGCATTGTGGATGCAGTCATGGTATAACTTCACCACAGCCTTGCATTGGTTGGGCAGGCTTTAGAAGTGGAGCCCTTGCCGAAAATCATATTTTGCGCTCATAATTATTGATTTGATAGCTGTTTGATTTTCACCTGAAACAACTCATGGCCCGTTATTTCTTGAGCAACCTACTCTACTTCGAAGAAGTGCCGCCTAAGAAATTTGGGTATGGGTCAATCTTCCAACCACCAGGGGCCCGCAGATTGTAGTCCATGTTTCCATTTGCCAGGGTTTCATTCTGGGTACCAGAAATTTGACCCGCTGCCATTTGCATGCCTCAACTCTGCTGCAACATACCTTGGTGGCTCCCAGCCATTCGGTTCCTTAGCTTCTTAGCTTTTTAGTTGGTTTCGTGGGGGTTTTCCAAGTTTAGCCCACTAAAAGTTAGTCACTTTTCGCGGGGGGTCCGAAAACGGACAGCTCAGATACGTACTACAGGAATTGCATTTGGAATTGGCAAGCCCGACTAAGGAATTTTGCATTTGCCAGCCTAAGGAATTTGCATTTGCATGCCTAAGGAAAAACTGCTGCAATTTGCTGCAAAGATACGTCTGTCACAAGATACGTCAGTAGCCCAGCCTCAACTCCACTGCAAGACACGTCAGGACCCCTCGCGCTCGCCGTTGCCCTGGAGCTCCTCCTTTGCCGGGCGCTTGGTGTGCCGCCGCGGGGTGGCCAGCGCCAGTCTGGACGACCCGCAGGCGGGGGGTTCTTATGTGGTGCAGGATTTCGTCCATCCACAGTAGCAGTGGTGGGTGGTGCTTGCCCAAATCCTCATGGGGGCTGGGGGGAGGGAGGGGAGGGGGAGGGAGCCACGAAAAGAACATATGTTTTTCAGCCCTTGGGGCTTATTTGGGCTTTTTCGCCCTCCCCTCCCTCCCCCCCCAAATTAAACCAGAAGCCATGTCTCATAGGAAACCCCTCCTGAAATTCGCATTAGGGAACCCGAGCTTGGCAGTGTCGCTTCCATTTGCTTAAGAATATGTTTTTTCTTCCCCTGGTGTTAAATCAAAGAGAGTTTGTCGCTACTGGATCCCTAATGGAAATATGTTCATTTTTTCTGGGGACTTAAGCAAACGGAGGGTTGTGTTTGAAGTGGCGCATTGCAAGGTTGCATCGCTTCCCAAGTGTCTTGACTTTACACTTTGTGAGAAGACCGATTTAGTGGAGGCCTAAAGGTTTGACGCGTTTCAAAAGATTGACCCGTTTCTCATTACGGTGCAGCTCAATTCGCAACCATTGGCAACATGACTAGCGAAGCAGCGGCTGATTTCAGCTGCGACGCCGTGGCGTTTGTGGGATCGCGTTCTCGGTCCGAATACTTCCTGTGGGGTGGTTTAGCCTCAGTACCCTTAGTACCCTTGGGGCCATTATTTGAATTGCTCCCCAAAGGGGTGAAGTTGGTTTCATGGAAGACCCACGTCTGTTGCTTCAAGGCTCCACCTCCGAAAGGAGCTTCGTTTCCTCTTCCTTTCCTCTTCCGTTTAATTTGAAAGGAGACGAGTGCCGTTTCTTAAGGCAGCCTTTGTTTGGATGGCTGAAGACAGGCCGGCCTCAACGTGTCGGCAGTGGTTCGTTGCTTCACCCATCCAGATCCCTGCCATTGGCGCCTTCCGCCCCAATCAAAGCGGATTCCGAGGCCTCTCGAGAACAGCTCGCAGAAGCAAACCCAAGCCCACTTTCCGTTTTCAAGCCCAACACCAAAGACCCATGCTGTGAGTTTGTTTATGGGAACCACCAATATGGGTGGCAAAACAAAGACAGCCCCCTCATCCCTCCCAAAGAACTTGGAAACAAGAGGAAAGGAAAAGCGCTCCCCCTTCAAATCAGGGCTCCCCTCAATAATTTGCGGCTCTCCCGTGATTTGTCTTTTGAAAGGGAAACTAAGAACTTGCCATCCCTAGAAGTGTTCAAAATTAAGAAAGAAGTGGCAAATTCCGTGGAAAGCACCTTTCCCACTCCAAATTAGAAAATGGCCCCACATTTGAAGCTCCGAATCTACACGACCCTCCAGTGGGGGGTTTCCTTTCAAAATCAACTACCAAAAGACGGGTGCGGCATGCATCAAATTCGGGGACCCCAAAGCCCTTGGTGTCCCTTTCAGCCAACCCAAAGAAGGGGTACCAACCCAAAGAGCAGAAACTTGGGTGCCAGCCCAAACAAAAACATAAATTAGGGTTTTAACCCCACAAAACGGAAATTGGGTTGCCATTGATGTGGCTGTGGGTCAAAACCAATGCTACCGTCTATTGTAGTGGGGATTGGGATGTTCACTGGGGGTACGATTTGGCGTTTGACCCATGGCCATGTTACCTTCAGGTGGCTTAAGGATACCCCACTGCCCCCTCGTCGCCAGGAGGCGCCCGGCCCAGCCCCAAAGCCGGCGCCGCCGCCGCCCCCGCCCCCGCCTCCGCCCCCACCGGGGAGCGTGGTGTTGCGGGTGCAGCTGACGCAGCTGCAGCTGAAGGCGAAACGGAAGACCAACGGAAGAAACTTTTGGTTCATTTGCTGAAATGAATCTTGTTTTGATCTTCCGCTGTTGGTTTTAAAGGGAGTCTATCACCGGAAACAGGCTGAAACGTTTCTTCCGTTTTGCTGAAAATGACTACTTGGTGGCTCCTAGCCATCCGGTTCCTTAGCTTGTTAGCCCTTTCGTGTTTAGTGGTAGTTTCCATTTAACCCACTAAAAGTTAAACTTTAGCGGGGGATCTGAGGGCAGCCCAGAATAGTGTTTCGACTTTCCCTGTTGGTTTCAAAGAGAATCTACCACTGGAAATAGTTTTTAGCTTTTCCAGGGGGCTTGAGCAAATGGAAGTCTTGTGTAAGGGACGCGTCTAAGCTGAAGACACCAGAAGCCCTTTGTGTAAGCAGTGGATTTTTTTTTGCAAACGGCAATCGCAACACTTTGGGTTGTAGCTCGACTCGTGATGTGACACGTTCTGAAAAAAGTTTATATATATATATATGTACACACACATATATATATATATATACATGGGTTACACATGGTCTCCCATGTGTTTGTTGTGTCTTGCTTGAAATGACTTGGCTTAGAATCTTGCTGGTTCGATCACCCTCCATATGATTGGTGGACATGAAGACAAACGATGCCAACAATAAATAACCATGTGCACTGTTGACCTAGGATTTACAACCCCCTGTTTGATTTCTTAGGGCGGGAATCCTTCTCTTTGTTGGACACACCCTCTAATGTTCATCCGGGGGAGACATTGCATGAAAGTACTTTGTACGTGGCAGGCAATCAGGATCCCTGAATTTTGACCAGGGAAATTAGCCACTCAAGTACCCTTTGCCTTCAAGTAGCGGATCTAGACCCGTCTTGCATATATGTGGCAGGCATAGCTGACCTTTGGCAGCGCTTGGCATTTTGTTGTTTCTCCGTTTTCACTTTCAACCGGCAGGCGGCGTCCTCTTGGTTTCCATTTAAAGCCAGTGTTGATCAATGGTACGTATGCATATGGTGTGTATATATATATATATACATACATGCGCATACAAGTAAGTACAGCTGTTACAGCATATTCACACACACACACATGTAGGCGGATGGGATTCGAACTACTGTTCGGAGTACATCCGCTATCGATCCAGTTCGGTTGCTTTCAATGCTGAGACAAGGAGCTGTTCTGCAGATGTTTTTGGGATGGGTGTCTCAAACCCTGCAGTGTTGCTTGGTTTCCCGGTCTGCTTGACATGGCGTTGTGAGACACAAGCATATCACATGGGCTCGACATGGGGAGCCCACGTGTTGGCATCGTTCCACGCATTTCTGCTTTCTGCCGCTAATTAACTGGTTTTCCGTCTGGGCCAGCCCCAGCCGTAAGACCTGCGAGCTTAATCCCAAGATGCACTTCAGCCCCGTTGCAAGCGTCCCCCACGCGCAATCCATGTTCCAGCCTCCTTCCACTGTTCTAAAGCCGGCCCTTCATGGTTGGTTTGATCCGAGCCACAAATTTGAAGGTGATCGAACCCCCGCCATAGGTGTCCTTTTCGGGTCAGTTCGGTTGAACATAGCTGGATTCAAAAGTTTTCAGTTCTTTCTCCCCCTACTTCTCCCGAAAGCACCGCCCATGCTCGGTCAGGCGGAGTCCTTGTCCGGGTTGGTGGCCTATCAGGGCCCGGCCGGGAAGGTGAAGGGCCCGCAGGTCTTCGTGCGGTTCTGCCTCTGTGACAAGACGCGCCTCGGGGAACCTGACCATGGAACCTGACCTCCTGACCCATTTTCCTCGGTGGGTTCCATTTGGGTATGGGTCAAGCTCAAACCACCAGGGGACCGCAGGTTGTAGTCCTTGGTTCCATTTACCAAAGTTCCATTTTGGGTACCTATTTTGGACCCACTGCCATGTGAAACGTTGACGGAGATGGCCATCAGTACCCCTCTTGAGGAAATGCTCCGCTGGCAACCCCCAACGCGCGTGCGGATACTTTGCTTGTTGTCAGGCGGGGCAAGGCAGGTTCCTCTCTTGTGTGAGATGGATGGTGTGGTGCGGGGGCAATCCCAGCTGTGCAGGGGCACTATGACCCAAAGTGAATCCCGCTGACAAATCCACGATTTCAGAAAATGTTCTAGATGTTGGTTCGCCCTCTGTCTTTCCACCTCCTTTGTTTTCCTTTGGTGTTGGTTCCAGCTTCCGATCCTTTTGTCTGTTGGTTTGCTTTCTTCCCCCCTTTTGGGTTCTTCCTCCCTTGTGGTTCTTGTTGTCACGTCTATTTTCCTCCTCACGGTTTGGGCCTTTGTCTCGCTTGCCGTCGAGGAAGCCGCCGCTGCCGGGCTGCGGCTCCTGGGTGGAGAGCTCCCTGGTGACGTGCCCCGACGCGCTGCTGGCGGGGGGCTGCGCCTCGCTGGACCTGGCCTTCGCGTGGAGCTCCCCGCCGCAGGAGGCCACGCAGGCGCAGCACGCGGCCAGGGGGCTGAAACCCCAAAAAAACAATACCCTAGATTTTGTAGCCTGGAACCCCCCAAAAAACAATACCCTAAAAGAAGGAGGTTGCAAAGTAGACCCTAAGAGTCCATCATACGGGGAGGGGACCCAAGTGCATCTAAACTATACATACTAAATCTTGTTTTGCCTTTCTCAGAGCTTTCCGGGTAGGCAAGAGGCGGTATGGGTTGGGGGATGCTTCAGGGATGGGGGCAGAACATGACCATACTTTCTGCTTTGGATCAATGTCCTGCACCGCTCGTGAGCATTCTGCCCCAGACCATTCATGAAGCGCTCACGACCTTCGAGCTACAAACAACTGCTTAAAGATCCATGCAACAAAGCAGAAACACTTAACGACTCGTGGGCAAAATGCTCAAAGGCCTATGAACAGTGCAGGGGCCGGAACAAAGCCAACATCGCTTCAAGACCCACATATCACACAAAACGTCCATGGACAACTCCCAACAACATAGAGCCTCCCATCCAAGACGATATCCATGTGGTTCCTGTAGTGGTTTCACCCCTTTTGGTTTGTTTCCCACGTGTTCTAAGCCCTTGTTGTTGCTGACAGCCGCGTGCGCGCTGGCCTTGCCTGGACCCCGTTGATGTTCTCGCCCTTCGGTTCAAGGTCCACGCGTTTCAGCCCCCCCCAGCTTTCGTCAAATGAAATCCGGCAAGCCTTGTCTCTTGCCTTTAAGCAATCCTCGAAGCTGGCTTTGCAAAGGCTGCCGGCTGGGAGCCCCCCACTGGCGCGGAACTCCCCCCCCCCATCTCTGGGCAGGTGACGCGGTGACTCTACCTGGTTTCTTGGGCCCAGAGCCAAAGGTCTCGGGTCTTGGGCGCTTGGACTCGTTCCCCTCCCCTGCAAATGAACATGGAACCAAAAACGGCGGCTTCTCCAAGATGGTTTCTCTACAGAAGGGTGCTTGCTGGGTCCCATGCTTCTTTGTGGAGTACCACCGGTCTGGCCCCCGAAAAGTGCATTTTTTTGGCAGGCGGTGGAGGCGCTCGTGGACGGCTTCGTGGCCCTGGAGCTGTGGCTGCGCCCAGGCCGCAAGGAAACCAGATGACATCTGGTGTGTAGCTTTCGGCTGTTGGGGAAGAATGACATTCATATTGTGTGTGTGTGTGTGACTTGATGTGTTTGCCCAACCTTTGGGACAAATCACAATTTGATCAGCTTTCTGGAGATCGAATCAAATACTTTTCTACCAGGAACCACAGATTTTGAACATTTCGCTGCCATTCGCTTGTAGAGCTGCGTGCTAGATAGCCCAGCTTTTGAGCTTTTCCAAAGGAAACTGACCGGGGATGTGTAGTTGACGTGTTTTTGTCAAGTCGGCAGGACCGGTGAAGATGTTATATCTGTTTTGATGGAACAGCAGCTCGGTGTTCCACCATCAGCGGATGAGCAACATGCAGGCGTATATTGGCGCGTCTCAACATCTGGGAATCACCCATCATGCGTGGTTTTCTCTCGACTTTTCCTTTCAAGAACTCTTTGGGGTCGCCATTTGCACGGGGCTGTGAGTCCACCAAACATGTTCGAGGGTTGCAATTCGCCATTCACATTCCTGACCGATATGTGGTCCTTTTTTTTGAGGGTATAGGAACACCGCCCAATGGGGTGGGGCTGCGTTCCACGGACGGTGGAGATATGGAGCCAAAAGGAGCATGAACACCGGGGGGGAGGTCTCTACTTGGAGACACGCGGGGGGGCTGTATGATGGACACTTGGGCTCTATTTTGCACCATTCGTTTCGTTTTGGGTCTCGGTTTTTTGGGGGTTGAAGTTTGCAACATATGGACTCTTAGCGTCCATGGCCTTGGTTCTAGGTACCTTCCCCATTCTTTCCAGGGATCCTTCCCTTCAGGAAACAATCACAAACCCAGGGGAAACAGCCGGTGTTTAAAAAGAACGATGGTTGAAACAAATGGTAAAGGAATCAACTTCTAGGTTGCGCAGATGTTGGTCTATGTTACCATCCAAGGGCTCAAAGATTGGTACCACTCTTTTGAGCCACAGCCATACTGTGAATGGCCTTCTTCCTGCACCACCAAAGAAACCCTTGAATGATGAGTCCCCTGTAAATACCAACCAACACTGGTTTCGTTTGGCTTCTCAGTGGTGCGAAATGGATTGCGTCCATCAGTATGACTCTTCGCATCCATTTGCTCAAGAATATGTTTATATTTTCCCTTGTTGCTTTTACAGGGAATCTATCACTACTGGACATATTTCTTTTTTTTTCCAGGGGTCTGGAAACGAAATGGACTCTTCGCGTCCGTGGCCTGGGTGAAAAAAAATCTCCGGCTGAGGCGCCACGTGGCCGCGGACCTGCGCTTGGCCGAGGCGAAGTGGCGCCTGCAGCCGCTGCTGGAGGCCGCCGCCCTCCAGGCGCCTGCGGGTGGCTCGGAGTTCCTCCGGGGTGCACTGGGAGGTCCGAGTGAAATGGGGGACCTGCCGTTTTGGATGGCTTATGGCTTGATGGAAAGCAGATGGTAGCGTTAAATGGGGGAACCGCCGTTGTCAGATTTGTGGCCTTCTGCTTTTACATGAGCTAGTTGAGCACTTTAGGTAGTGCACAGGCCTCTTGAATACAGCCAACCTTTTTGGAGGGCTTAGGGCTTGATGGGTAAACCTTGCGAATGGCAGGGGTTTCAATGAGACGCACCTGTGGTTTGTCTCCAAAGTTTTTGACAAAATCAGACCCAGTGCTGGTTAGCAGGGCTGGCTAGAACGATCATGTCTTCTAGTTCTGCCAGGTGTACATTTTCCCGTGGAAATCATCTGAGGAAGACGCCCTTGACAAGATAAAGCACCAGACATACTGCCTTGAAAGCAAACGTGTCGATTTGCCCTGAGCCTGGGGACACTGGCAAACCTGACAGGACACGGTCGACCTGCGTTTGCGAACCTTGCGGCTTGGCAGTGATCGGCCGAGGTTCCAGAGCCGGGGCGGCTTCCCGGCTCTGGCCATAGGCAAATGGTAACGAACTCCCAAAGGAGTTGGTTTGCGACTGAGGAAGGTTCCTTTTTGAAATACCATGCTGGCCGCCCATCGTGTCTCACGTGACGTGACGCTTGGGCATCGAGGAAGAAGGTTCCTTTCTTGGGTGAAGATTGCGCAAGGCCTGGTCTTCCCTTTGCTCAAGATGTGTTTGCATTGGTCCTGGTTGGTTTCTACGAGGCCATGGCCGTCACTGCGACATGTGGCTATGAAGCTGAATTGGTCAACACGGTTGGTGGACATGATTCTTTTCATGTACATGATGCCAACGGATTCCCAAACAAAACACATACCCAACCATTTGTTTTACCATCTTGAGAAAGCCTGCGTCCTTGAGCAGAACATGGTCCCCCCAATGGTTGCCTGCCCATGAAAGTAGCAAATACATCAACTTGGCGTGTGCACTTCGAACGCATGCTCAGTGCCAGTCATCGAGACTACTGCGACATTGTCCCAGCGTCCTTCAGCCTTTTTTTCATGTGTTCTCCCTTCACATTGGAGCAAACTTTAGAAGTGGGCGTCCCCTCACAAACACGGCGTAGAACGAGGCACTTTTCAAGACAACTAGGTTTCACGTGCTGGTGTAAAGGTTCATTTGCGAGGTTCCGTTAGACAACAAAGGTGCCTTCGGCTTGTCAAGGGAGACCAGTGCCAAAGCCTGCGGTGAGCAAAGTTCTTGTACGTCGAGCCAAGCCCAGGTTTGTATCTGACACTTCAGTCACGCTGAAAGGCGCAGCCAGTGCATGGCTTGTCTGCTGCGATCGAACAAGCACATGAGCAACATGTTTTTTTTGCCTGCACCACCCTCTGGTCCGATTTTTCACCCCGCCGCTCCGCGTCAAAAGCACTCGATCCCTGCCGCCTCTCGCGCTCGCGAGCCGCGCTCCGCGCGACTCGCTGCATCGAGGCGCCCGGCGGACCTGGAGCTGAGCTGCGCGGTGGGCGGGGAGCTGAAGGGCAGAGTCCAGCTGCAGCTGCCCAACGGCCCCGGCCTGGTGTCCTGGCGCCTCGGAAAAGCGCCGAGAGGCGCCAAAGGCCGAGAGGCGGCGAAGCAAGGGCGAGGGGCTTTACGCATGTCGACATGCCGAGTGTTTGGACATGCCGAGGGATTTTACGCATGTGGATGCAGAGTGTTTGCTCATGCCGACCTTTTCGGCCGACCCCATTCGCAGGAAGCACCAACAACGGATGCACGCAAATGGTCGTAGGTAGCAATAAGTTAACGGGCTCTCAAGTTTCGTTAGTTTCCCATGTCTTAGGGCACAGAGTCAATGATCAATCTGCTTGGAACGGGCTTTCTAGGTCTTGGTTTCACATGCTGTGTGGTTGATGAGTGCCGACGAACTCTCAAACGTGATAATGATAAGGCAACACAGCAGACATCAAGAGATCTCTTCAGCCCACGTTTGTGACCCTCTTTGTTGGCAGAATTCGGCAGATTGCAAATTAGCAGCTTCGCCTGCTGATCCACTCCACGTGATCCTTGCAGCCTGTCTCCACTTGCCGCAGTTCTAACGTTGGACAAACAGTCACATTGATGTTAAATTTCAACGTGTTTTCGCGCCCTGCATTCTGTATAGCCTCGTGCATGAGGTTGTTTACAAACTGTGGTTCCACGCACATTCCGATGTTCCCATGTATAGCTTCGCTGGCTCAGAGTTGCAGCAAAGCCCAGCCCGGACCCACCCGCAATCCCCCCCCCAAAAAAAAGCACATCAAAATGAAGGAAGGGCGTTCCTAAGGCCTCCAAATGAGAACTCCATAGCCCTCCTAGTCGGGCGGCGATGTGCTTCGAATCTGAGGCAGCTTCTGCTGTGGCTCAGCCTCCGGACCTTGGCGCAATATGTGCTCCCCATCTCCGAAGGCTGGGCTCTCAGCCAAGGGCCTTCCGATTGCTGGTCATGGCCGAACTGCGAATAATGTTTACCATGTTGACCCAGGATCTAAGTAGAACCCGTCCCATTATCAGGGGGAGTGTTCCCTCCAAAAGTGATGAATCCTCACTAAAAGGGGACCCCCCTATTATGCAACCAGGGGTTTGTTAATCCGGGGTTAACATTATGAAAAAGCAGGCCGCAGCAGAATAAAGTTTTAAAGACCACGAAAGAGAACACTGAACATTTCTGAAAATGAAGTGACGGCTTTCACAGAATGGCCCAGAAAAGTGGACTCCCGAAGATTCTTGAACTGGTGGCGTTGGCTCGGTGGCTTGGTTTTCTTTATGCTTATGGCTTTCGTTGTTTGCGTGGGCTCGGCTCTACGTGCAGAGACAACGCAGGGAAGAATCAGGACAACAACGGTGTGTGTGTGTGTGTGTGTGTGTGTGTGTGTGTGTGTGTGTGTGTGTGTGTGTGTGTGTTCGTGTGTGTGTGTGTGTGTGTGACACCCCTACTTCCCTTTGGTTTTTCTTCAAAACCCCCAAAAGATACCCACAAGCTACACCAAGGCAGAAATTTGAAGGAAACAGAACTTCTGCAGGAACGGCTGGAGGGGCTCCAGTTTGGCAATGCTTGCGCTTGAGAGGTTGCGCCACGTTAAATTCCGACGTTTCTCCTATCAACTGTGGCCGTGTACTGCAAATGGCAGGTAAACGCGCGAGGCATTTGATTCACTGAACATTATAATCGCTAGAGGTTCAGACGAACAGCCGCAACCGGAGCCATGGCCTACATGGATACTTAGTGGATGTTCATGTCCTGGCGAGCCAATGTAACCCACACGCGCAAACAATACGGCACTTTTTGGGTAAACCAGAGAGCACTTGCCATGCGACTTTTGTGCTTGAAGCCTTACACCTCACGAGTGCGCCTCGTCGGAACCTGCAGGTTTGGCGCAGCGCTTGCGCCTGGATGTCGACCGAGGACGGGGTGAATTCGCATGTCAATCCGGTTTTGCCACGAGGGTCACCGCTTGCATATTATGTTTCAACACCGATGACTTGGACCAGGTGCTTTGCGAATTCCCTTAGTTCTTTCCAAATCAACGCCTCCAAAATGTGGCAAGTATTGGACAGGCATGGCATGTTTTGCAAGCTGCATTTTCATCAAGGAAGTCGCAATCTTAGTCAGCACCGATCTCCAGACAGTTCTCAACACAGCCCCGCAATGCTCTACATGAGCCTACATGTGCGGTCATCCGGCCTGAAACATACCTCATCCGCAGGAAGATGCCGGCGCTGACCATCTCCCTTCAACAAACGTTCATCTTCATCAAGCATCGTGAGTACGTGACACACACACACACACACTCTGGAAAATCACAGTCCAGCATGGTCTTGCAAGGCAAAGCCTGGTGGTTGTTGGGGGCCCCAGGACCCACTACCCCCCTGTTTCAGGATACGGCGTTCACACCTTGTTCGTCAGGTCGGGAGACCGCCTTGGGAGCGCGGGGGCCAAGTTCGTCGCCACTTGCCAAGGGGGAATGGGGCGTGCCCGGGCAAAGGGCACGGCGGTTATTTCTCCCCCCCCCCCCCCCCGGCGGGCGGTGTGTTCCCCCACTTCTTCAATGTGGTCTAGGTGCCCCAGTAGTCCCCGTTTACCCTTTTTTGGGAGGGTTCCCCTACTAAAATCGACGACAGAAAAAAGTTGGTACCCTTTTCTAACCTCTCCACTGGAGGACCTAGTGGTATTGATCGGCACAGCCGGCCGAGATACTGGTACAGTGGTCTTAAGAAGCCAAATCAGTTGAGTGCCAAAAGTGTACCCGTGGCTTTGCCTTCGCGGCGGGAGCTTCTTCAGGAACCTTCGCGACAGTCGCAAGCTTTCGCCTGTTGACTAATACAGTCAACCCCCACTCAACACACCTCAACTAAATCAATGCCAATACATGTACTGCACGACAAAGGGAAGCAATGCCTGCAGATTGCTCACGAAAAGAACGTGGCTTTTGATGGTTGGGCAAAAATTTGCGAGGTGTGAGTCTTCCCCCATTTCGCAGCTCTGGATCTAGATGAATTGTATTATACATTTCATTACATTTCCCATCCAAGAGGCACCAACAAGGCCTCGGCAACACGTCGAGCTGTACTTTGTTTGGGGTGATTTGGGTGTGGGTCAAAAACAGGTACCCAAATGGAACCCTGGTAAATGGAAACAAACACTAAAACCTGCGGTCCATTGGTGGTTTAGTCTTGACCCATGCCCATTTTTCATCGCGCGCGGTGCGCAGGCCATCCCCATCGCCAGCTTTCAGTCTACCCTGCAGGCAGGGCCTGGCGCGAGGCGGACCAGGGTTGAGCGTCTCGCAGAAACAAAAAAAAAGATGCCACGTGCCCTCATGAAATCACATATTAAATCACTCAACCAAAAGCCAGGGTTTTGCATGGGTCGAAATGATGCCATGAATTGGAGAGCCCCCCAAACCAGAAGCCACAGGGGATGGGTCAAAGGCGGACTAAAAAGTTTTTGGCCCAACGCCTGCCCCAATGAGATTTTCCTGGGTTGGGTTTTGGCAGCGTCTTCCGGATCTTGTTGCCCTGTGAGACCTGGCTGGTGCATCTGAGCTTAAAGCACCTGCGGTGTTGCAACATATCCTGTTCAACAGGGGAGTTCTTACGCGCGTCGTGATTCATAAAATGTGTGTCTTGATTTTGCTATCCCCAAAAGTGTTCAAGAGCAGCAGAGCGCCTCCAGCAATGAGTCTGATCTTTCAGTTCTGTGTGAACATGTTCAGAACTAACTTCTTGGCGACATGCAGTCAAATTAAATTCCACGTATTGCAAGGCATGACAACTGCGCACACAAACTCAAGCAATGAAGCCCACATGAAGGATTATTCGTGCATTAGCCCATCTCCTGTCATCATATTCAAGGTTTGATGATTGTTGGTTTTATTCAGAGGATTCGTGAACCAAGCACCTCCAGAAAGAAACAACTCAGCAAGCAGAGCAGAGAAAGTAGTACCTGCCGGGTGAAATTGGACACATTTTGTCATGCAGGGTAAGTAAGGGGTGACTGAACCATAATCCACTTCTGAGAGAAAAAAAATCCCAGTGACCTATGACTTACCCCCACGTGGCAAATGAGCACCTTCCCCCCCCCCCCCCCGCCCCCACCGCTTTTTGGGCTCAGGCGGAGCTGCGTAGTGCGGGCAGAGGCAGGCGTCGCGGTTGGCCCGGGCATGCGGGTGTTGACCAAAGTTGTCAAATAAGTTGGCTTCTTTTCCTTCTTCTTTTTTTTGGGCGGGGGAGGGGGGATGCTGGGTTTGGTGGATGGGAGTTTTCTGGAACCTGGCACCCTTCTTTGCTTTCCTTTTTGGTGGCTTTCGAACATTCTTTGGACATGATCTGGACACTTGGATAGTATACAAGTTGAAACCATGGTTTCTCCTCAAAGTGCAGTGCTCAAGTTGAAGTAGTAAGTAGCACTTCTTCCTCAATGCAGCTGCACTTCTCAAGTTGACTTTTTTGGGAATGGCTGCCATTGATTGGACTGATCTCGAGCACCTCAAGAACCTTGAGAAGGACTATTCCCTTCCCGACATCGTGGAGCAGCGGCGTCGCTTGATCCAGCTTGCGAAGCCTGCCGAAGGCGAGAGCTGCCTAGATGTCGGCTGCGGCCCGGGGTTTCTGGTGGAGCAGCTTAAGGCCGCGGTGGGAGAGAAGGGCGCCGTAACCGGCGTCGACTACTCGGAGGCGATGGTGCGAGCTGCCAGGCTGCGCTGCCCCGCCGTAAAGCTGCTCCAAGCCAGCGCCGAAGAGCTCCCATTCCCAGATGCTTCGTTTGACCTGGTGACAATCACCCAGGTACTCGTTTATGTGCCCGATCCGGGCAAAGCACTGAGCGAGGTCAAGCGTGTGCTCAAGTCAGGTGGGCGCGTGCTGATACTGGACTCTATTTGGAGCCAGTCAACTTGGAGTGGAGCCGATTTGGAGCTGCAGCGTCGCATCCTCGATGAATTCGACAAGCACTGCAGTCACCCGCTGCTGCCCATGCGCATCCCGGAGTTGCTGGGCCGGGTTGGCCTGGAGTTTGCAGATGGACCACATGTGATCCCAATCACCAATACCGCCTGGGACGGAGTTGGTATTGCAAAAAGTGCTGCGGGAAGTATCGTAAAGTATGTGACCGAGCAAGGGCTGATTGAGAAGAACGACACAGAGCGTTGGCTTTCAGGACTGGAAGAATCTGGACGTAGCGGGACCTTCTTCTTCAATCTCAATCGATACGTCTTTGCCGGCGTCAAAGGCAGCCTTGCCGAGAACAAAAGGCAGCGGAAGGAGTGAGTGTCACATCCACCCTTTCGAGCGCGGTCGAGTTCGCTTTAAAGCCTGTAGGCCGATGAATGGCCGAGTGGCTTTCCCGGGCGTCGCGCGAGCTCATGTCACAAAGCTTCAGTCGAAGCCGTGCCTGGAAGTCGGAGAATCAAAAAAAAGGCCAAGGCTCACAAGTAGGGTCCCGGCAGAAAACCGGGTTACGCACCTGCCAAATCTCGGAGTTTCCTTCTGGCAACTCCCATAGACAGGTTGTTGCTTTTTTCTCTGATTGCACGGCCTTTCAGGATGGTAACTTGTGTGTTTCCAAGCCGCCAGAAGTGTCTCACCAGGATTGGTTTCCTCTCACGGGGTTGGTGGCAAAATTGGCAACAAGCAGACCCTGGGCCGCCTGGACTTATGGGAACCAAACAACGGTCGGCTCAACCGCTGGGGCCTCATGGGTAGCGTTCACTTTATTGCGCTCCTTTCCGCTGGCTATAAGGGTCTAAACAATTCGCCTGGGGCAGGGGACCTCAAAAGCAAAATATTGTTATGATGCACAGTCAGTGCATGAAATTTGTACTACTTGCCAGTGTTTAGTAGCCATGATTATATCCCACCAAAGCCATGGTTGCAAGTCCCCATTCTGCGGGTTTTGAACTAACTACCCACAAACTACCCACGAACAAAAAACGCTATCCACCCACCAGCCACCCCCTAGCCACCCACCAAGCCCTTGTATCACCCCGGTTTCGCTTAGAAAGGACGAACTACCCCAACCACCCACTCGCCAGCCACTCACCAGCCACTCACCAGCCACTCGCCACCAGAAGCGCGGCCTTTGGCTTTTCCTGTTTTCTCGCAGATCTTCCGGCGGCCCTGTGGCAGCTGATCGCGCAGCGGGAGGAGTGGCAGCAGCAAGGCGTGGACCGGTGGGGTGTGGACCGGTGGGGCGGATGGGGATCAGCTGGGCTGGCGGTGGTCGTCAAAACCGTTTTGGTTCATCCCATTTTGGGGGGTTTCGGTGAATTCACCACCCGTTTAGAACCTATTTGAGTGGGGATTGAATCGGATGTTCACGATGTTCACTGGGGGTACGGGGTTTTGACCCATGGCCACATGACGAGTGGGTGATTGTTCACAGTGCAATGAGTGCTTGATTGATGGAAACATGATGGGCGGATTGGCCGGGTGATTGGTCAGGGGCTCCTGAAAAGATACAGTTTGGCCAATTGAACGATCAGAAAGAAAGCGCCATTTCGAGAGAGATGTTCGGGAAAATAGAATATGTGACCTCATGACACGAGCAGCAGACAGAAATACAGACGGGCGCACCTAATTGTTCAATGTCCTCTTGGGGAGACATATCATTTTGGGACTTCCCCACTGCACCCTCCCTCCCAGACCTGCAGTTTGGTGCAGGCCGCTTCGACTACTTCCGCTTCCTTTGGGACCTCCAGGCTGCCTGCGGCGACACGCCAGGCATCGCTCGAGCTGTTCGCGCGGCTGGTCGGTGCCTGGGGCTTTTTGCTCTTCCTGTTGCCTGTGGCATGGCGCCGAATCCCTGAATCCCTCTTCCTTGTGAGGCGTAGGCTTTGTTTTATTCCAAATGGCTGTGGGTCAAAACCAATGGTACCATTTTGGGGTAGGTGCACCACCCATTTTAGTCTATTCTAGTGGGGATTGGGAGGTTCACCGGGGGTACGCCATGGCCAAATCCTTGAGGGGACCATCCCGGGGCCCTGCCCCAAAAGTCGAAAGGACCCCCGCCTCCAATTCGAGGCGTGAACGAATCCTTGCCCTCCGGTTTTCTCAATCAGAATGGGGTTGTTAGACGGCAGCCATCATAAGCATACTGCGTTTGCAGCTTGGATAAGAAGGTTTGGACAAGGTTTGCAGGGTTTCTTTTGAAGGTAGACCATGCACTCCTTTGAGGGGTTTTGCCAAGGACATATCTGACCCGTGTTTTTTTTTTGCTGTCAAGCGGACATGTAGAGTTGGACACATGAGAAAAGCACAGTGCCACCGGGTTCTGTTTGCGATATAACTCAAGGCATTCACATGTTAAGTTGGCAAACAACATTGATCTTGCAAGCAACTTTGCGGAAATCTAGCCGCCTTTGCCGTGGAAGCCGGCGGAAGCATTCACAGTACGTCTCACAGATACCCCTCACACGGCAGCATGGCGGAAGGTTTTGCAGAACGGGCCGCTGCCGTGAAGGGCAAGGGTAGTTGGTAATTCGTTTGCTTGCTGATCAGGTCTGCTTTGTTGAGAGCGGTGGTTCTGGGCAAGAGCGCGACCACCTCGCGGGCCGAGGATAGTTGCTTCCTTGCTGTGAGTCTTTCTTTCCCTCGGACAGGGGGACTCTTTGGCTTGAACACTGGGCCTTGGTGGAGCCTTGGAAGTCACCGCTCATTCACTCACTTGCCGAAAGTGCTTCGCACACAGATTCTCCTGTTTCATGGTCGGTGTCCGAATGATTTTTAGGGAGATCCGCGGCAGGCTGTGCCATGTTCTTCCTGCCCAGAGGCTCCCGATGGATTCAGGGCCCTCAACTAGCCACCCCCAAACACGCTCTGGGTGTCCAATGGAGGGTCTGGGTCTTCCATTGAAAGCCCCAGGAGCCTCTGGGTGGAGAATTTCGGGGTTAGCGCAAACCTTTGGGGTGCCCATTTCTCCATTTCGCCCACTCTTGGACCAGGCGAGCTGGCAGCGCCGCCGCCGCCGCCACCAGAGGCCCCGCCGCGAGAGGAGGGGCAGCGTCCGAGATGGGCAGTTGCCGACTGAGCCGATCCTCAGACCTCCAATTTTTTTGGAACCCAAGTCTTGGCCACCCAAGTTTCCGTTCAATCAGTCAAACCCTGCTCTTGGAACGCAGGAGCCAAGCCTGGGGGTGGTGGCGCTGACAGTGCACCAGGCGAGCTCGGTCTAAAAAAGGCCACTGGTGCCTTTTGGGGAACCCTTGCTTCTGCCGCGATAGTTCGATTCCCTTGCAACAAATGGGTGTGTGCTTTTTGCTGATGTCCTCGAGCTACTGACTTGCAGCTTGCAGGTTTCAAGCTACAGATGAAGCAAAGAAGTCAGCCTGAGATTTTTGTACCGAACCTCGGACAGCGGATCTGGGAAAGCCGCTTCATTGTCGGATGACTTTCGTAGATCCTGGCAATGTCCTCATGGCGAACGTGCGCTCATCGCCCTCCCATGAACCTGTCAAAGTAAAGGGGCATCACAGCCAAATCCTGGTCTTCCATTCCAACATGCATCAAAGCCAGCCATGCTGCTTGGTCAGGCTACCCCCATGGTTCCTGTTTGCTCTGGGAACACAGCGCAGCATGAAGGAGCGGAACACGCTCGCAAAACCGCCAATCGTCACTTTTGACCAGGGAGTCACAAAGAACAGTGGAAAGTCTTAGGGGCGCAGGAGCGCGACTTAGACCTACGTGTTCCCTTATTAACAGTGGAAGCTGGGTCCTCGGGATCTTCTGCTATACTGTAAGCTGTAAACCAGTCGGAGCACATATGTTGTTTGTTGATTAGGTGCACAGGAGGTTTTCTTTTTGGTGTGCGGTTGGACATGTTTGGTAGGTTGAAGTCCGCATGATCCAGCTTTGTCGCCTGGATTCAATCAGAGCTCTTCCACCTGTTTTGCTTGCTCTTGAATGATGGTTCGTGCCTGAGCGGTGAAGTTGCACAAGGAGTTCGAGCAGGATGGGTCCTTCTGCAAGTCGCTGTTAAATCGATTCTATCGGCATTGTCCGCAATTGGTGGTTTGAGTTGGTGGTTACGAGGTGGTTTCAAACGCCAAGGATTCAACTTTCAGACCTGGAGGCCTTCCACTTGCACATCTCGCATCCGGGCCGCGTCTTCGTGAGCTATGCGTGGAGGCGCCTCGGCCGTGGGCTGCATGATGAGCTGTGAATCATCAGATCATTGAGGTTGCTGCTGATGCTGCTCCTGTTGCTCTTGCTTCTGATGCTTTTGTTCTTGCTCTTGCTGTTGCCACAGCTGCTGCTGCTCTTGATTTTGCTTGTCTTGCTGCTCTTGCTCTTGCTATTGCTGCTGCTGCTGCTGCTGCTGCAACTGCTGCTGCTGCTGCTGCTGCTGCTGCTGCTGCTGCTGCTGCTGCTGCTGCTGCTGCTGCTGCTGCTGCTGCTCCTGCAACTGCTGCTGCTGCTGCTGCTGCTGCTGCTGCTGCTGCTGCTGCTGCTGCTGCTGCTGCTGCTGCTGCTGCTGCTGCTGCTGTTGCTGCTGCGGTCGTCGTCTTCATCGTCGTCTGTTGTTGCGTCAACTACTTGTTTCCCATTCCAAACGGATGTTAATCATGGAGGCGACTTTGAACTTGAGGTGATTAGCTTGATCGTAGTGCCGCCAGCAATGTCATACTAAATATGCCAACCTTGTTTTTCAGCAGCAAGTATCTGGGCTTGGGTTAGGGTTCTGGCCCAGAAGGGTTGCGGCGACTGAGGACTTGTCGTGCGCAAGTATTGCGTTGCCCATATTCTCCCCACGGAGCTTAGAACTTCTGTTTCGCGTTGCGCTATGAAGTGAGGGCCCAGCGGAATGAGGAAGCCGTAATATGCCGCAATGCATCTGTCCAAAAAGGAAATGCAGCAAGCACATGCTCCTCACATGTTGATTGAGCACAGAATACTATCTGCCCCCAGCACGGATGGCACGTGGAGTTGCCCGTTTGATATGCAGTTTGTGTTTCACATAGGAGTTCGCTGTGGAGCTTGTCATGGGATCTCCAGGCACATCCAGGCAGAATAGAGCTGTTGAATGGGATGCCCTGGTGAGGTGTGCGAGTGGAATGAGCATCCCAAGTGCAGGCGGGTTTCTGGCGTTTTTGTTTTCCTTCGGGACGGAAGTGGAGATGCCAGCCAATCCTTCAGACATGCTGGATGCCCACATTTGGGTGTGTCTTTGTTTAAACATTGGCAGGTTTGCCCTTTAGTTTTCCTTTCGAACCACCAATCGAACTCTGTTTTTTGAGTTGCTTTGCAAAGCGGAAGCTGGGGCAGAGGCTCGTTGCCAAGAGAATGTCAAAACGAGTTGGGCCCCCCAAGTGTGGCAAGATGTTGTTGTTTGCTTCCTTTCGACACCAGCATCGCAGGCCCCTGATTTTTGCTTGCAATCAGATCAATGCCTTTCGGATAGTCGCTGTCTCTGAAGGAATCGGATACATTGAATTGGGTCCTGCACTTGTCATGTTCATCGGCCGCGTGGAGCCGCTTGCCAGGCCACTAATAGCACTGGGGCTTGAGAATCCATTTTCATTGGTTGAACCCCATGGGTTTGTTTAAGAATTCGGGAACCTCGTTGGATTCCCCTTGCTTTCCCTTGGGTTTTCCTTCGGCTACCTTTTGGTTTCCCTTCCGTTCCGCTTGACATCAACCCAACACCTGTTTGTGTGTGTGTTTTTCCTTTTTTTGGGGTACCATCTTCTTTTTTTTCTCCTTCAATCAAAAAGAACCACCCATTTGGCAGGTCCCATTTGGACGACCCAAAACGGAGCTCCCGATCCGGTTGGCCAGGCAGCACGCTAGGAGCTTCGCAGGCGCGGATCGATCGGAAAAAACCGAACTGGGAAACCAACGGGACCGGGGTCGTTTTTTGGGAGGGAACCCGTTTTGAAGGTTTGTCAAAAGGGGCCCTTTTTGGTGTTTAAAAGGCGGCACCTTGGGTGGCGTCAGGTCCCAGAAAGGGGTATCATACGTTGGACAACACTTCCTTTTTGGGTGAAGTTTAAAGGGTTTTTCCAAAATGAGCTCCGAAGCGATCTGGGGGTTCCAATTCCTATTTCAAGAACCCAGATTCTGTTTGATACACATAAAGTTTTGAGGCTAGTTGGGGGACACCATTTCTACACAAAAGAAGCACCTTTGGTTTCCCCCAATTTGTGACACACCCATAGGCGGATCTCAACAAGGCGAGACCCCTCAAACTGAGGATTCAGCCCAGGCTGAAGTCGAAAAGTTCAAGACAACTCTTTTGCTTTGAGACGTACAAGGTCCCCCAGTGCCTTTCTCACCCCTTTTTTAGTTGGGAGGGTTCCCCTACTAAAACAGACTACAGAAAGAAGGGTACTTGTACCGTTTTTTTAAGCTCTCCACTGGAGGACCTAGTATAGATGGGGACGTGGACTGTGAGTTGGATTAGGGAGTTCTATGATAACAAGCTTTTCCGTGCAGATTTGTAGAGTGATGACGTTTGTTGGAATCTGCTCGGGGCGGCTTTGAAGGCCCAGAATAGCTTCCATGCCTAACAAATCTGCCAACAGCACTTTGTGTGACGCTTTTAGGCCGGGTTCTATATTAGTCACTTTCCCCACAACCGCGTTGCGATCCCTATATTTTTTCAGCGAGGCTCAACACAATTAGACGGCGCGGGCGCCACATTAAAATTATAATCTCCATCAACTGTGAACAAATCAACGTGGAAAGTGATGAGCAATCGCAGTACTCAATCAAAGATGAATCCATCTTTCATATCTTTGGGACTTTTTTTAAACCAACTCTGAAGATCAAGGTGGACAGTGGCATCTTTGAGTTTCTTTTGGGACCATTAAACAAACAAAAAACAAAAACCTCTGAATGAATCAACGTGGACAGTGGCATCTTGACAATTTTTGGGACCTTTGGCCTTTTGGCCTCTGCCTGATGTGCGATCCCACGGTTCGCTTAGGTGTCCCTGGGCGCCTCGCCCAACTGGGGACACATGGCCGAGCTGGGACTGCCGGAGGCGATGTGTTTCAAGGAGATCTCGGGGGAGTTGGTTGGGTTTGGCTCAAGGGTGGGTTGGTTGGTTGGTTGGTTGGTTGGTTGGTTGGTTGGTTGGTTGGGTTGGGTTGGTTGGTTGGTTGGTTGGTTGGTTGGTTGGTTGGTTCGTTGGTTGGTTGGTTGGTTGGTTGGTTGGTTGGTTGGTTGGTTGGTTGGTTGGTTGGTTGGTTGGTTGGTTGGTTGGTTGGTTGGTTGGGTGGGTGGGTGGGTGGGTGGTTGGTTGGTTGGTTGGTTGGTTGGTTGGTTTGATTTATTTTGCTTTGGTTTGCTTTGCGTGATTGATTATTTTGTTGCTTGGCTTTGTTTGTTTGTTGAGTTGCTGCGCTGATGCATTGCTTTGCATCGCTTTGCATTGCTTTGCATTGCTTTGCATTGCTTTGCATTGCTTTGCATTGCTTTGCATTGCTTTGCATTGCTTTGCATTGCTTTGCATTGCTTTGCATTGCTTTGCATTCCTTTGCATTCCTTTGCTAGCTTGCTAGCTTGCTAGCTTGCTTGGTTTGCTTGTTGAGCGGTTTACATTTGGATGTGTGCAAATGTATTGAAATGCGTGTGCATGATCTAGAGGTTCGTTCTTTGTCCTTCTTGCCTGTAGCCTTTTGTTTGGTGCTTATTCTCCAAGCATGTGCAATTCCCAAAGCAATGGGAATCCTAGGATAGCGTTGCTCGGGCTAAAGTAACGCGCCGGGCATGAACCGGCTTTTTTCGGCTGGTCCGAGAAGGGATGGGCTCAAAACTTACTCTTAAGTGAACAGGCTGTACTGCTTGACGGTTTGTACCATGGCCTGATGGCCATGGTCCAAACGCTTCTGTTTGTCATGTATGCCTTTATGTCGCCTTTTGAGCGCGAAGCATCGCGATCAAGCCCTGCAGGCGCGGCACATCAGAACCCAGAGATTGTGTCGCTGCATTTGACAACTGCAAATTAGTCTTTGCCGCTGAAACACATTTGATGTGTCCCCATCCTGGAAGTCAGGGTAATCCGGGCGCAACAAGTTGAAATGTCCTTCTCAGCGCCGGGCACCTACCAGAAGAACCCCAAACTCCCCTCTTTTTATAGATCGTAGGTTCCACGTCATTCGCCGAGCCTACTAGAACAAGGGCTGTTGTACCTAGTTAAGTTAGTTCTCCGCTCTTATTTAACCAGCGATCAAACTAACAAACAACCGTCGTTGCTTTTGACTCAAGGACAGAAGTGGCGGAATCACTTGCGCCGGTGGGTTCCCCTTCGATTTGTGCGCATGTCTCGGTGCTCTTTGCCAAGGTCACCTCTGGGGATGTGGCCATCCCCTACCCGGAGGCGCCCCGTATGCCCGGGGGGGGCGGGCCTTCGGTCCGGCGGTTTGGAAAGGCGCAACCTGGGCTGAAAGGCCAAACACGGCCAAAGCCACGCCCAAGACCCCAAAGGGACGAAAATCCTGAAAGCAAGAAGAAGTTTGGCCCCAAACATGAACTCTGCCAGACAAATAAGAACAAGAAGAAGAAGCATAAGAAGAAGAAGAAGAAGAAGAAGAAGACAAAGAAGAAGAAGAAGAAGAAGAAGACGAAGAAGAAGAAGAAGAAGAACAACAATCAAGCTATTTCAGGGATGTTCAGACAAATAGAAGAACCCCTGCTGCTGATGCTCGAATTGTACACTTAGACATTGCGTGCTTCTTTGGTCCTGGTACGCAAACAAGCCTCTTGAAGATCCTGCACCTTCACCCGCTGCAACAATAAAGCACTGTGCCTTTCCACTCGCACCGTGTCGATGCATATTACCTTCAATCAATTGACGTGTGCCCCAAGGATCAGGCTCGAATTACCTGTCCAGCTCAAACCACGTGCTTTGGATAATGGAAGGTCGGACCCCTTTGGAGCCACGGATCATTATGCTCACGACTTGACTTTGTTGCATGCTGACTAGGACAAATGCCCACTTGCTGGAGAGGTCCCGGAGAAATGCAAGTGTCCAGCATCTGCGGCCATGTCCTCGACGCAACTCACAAGCTTAAACACGTGGTGGAGCGTTGCGCTTGTGAAGTGACTGGCACGCAGCGCAGAGCCATGGTTGTCGTAGCCGGACCGCAGATGAAGGAATGCTTAAACGTGCATGTTGTCTCTTGTGACTGAGTGGCCCCCCAAATTCAGGCAGATTGTCACCTTACCTTGATTGGGAGCTCTCAGGACGAGAAATGTGAGCGTGACCCTGCCAAAAAATGCGACAAGAGGACAATCCTAAAATAAAGCAATTACTCTCTGACCCTGGACCACGACACAGAGTGCCAATTTGTTTGAACATAATTTGATTTAGAATGACCTGGCAAGATGAGATGCGGGTTGGCGGGAGGGTCCTCCATGATTCACCCATCGCCCACATGTTGGCTGCCCTTGGCTCCAGACTTGCCACGTCTTGTATTTTCCGGAGGGGTCAGATCAGCGGCTCTGGCTCTCACCAGCACTCGGGAGCTTTCTAGATGTCTCCGATCTTGTCCGGACTTCCAAAGGGCTTTGCAACAACGTTTGCATCTGGGTGTGTTCGATGCGAGGCGTTCCGCCATCTCTACTTGGAGCTATGGGTGTGGCATGCGAGGCCGGAGCCAATGATTTCTGGCATTCACCTGAAGGGGATGAGCATGGGCATCCTTACAAAAGCACGTCCTCCGGACATATGGGGCAGGGCCGGGCGATAAGAAGTCACAGCAAACAGGGGGAACAGGATGATTTCGGGTTTCTTCGTGGACATCAACACCTCTCTTCAAGGGTTGCAAAAGTAGGGCTTGTTCCATGTGAACGAATTTACTTCAGCCATATGTCTTTCTCTTGGGTGGCCTCAGTCCTCGTCTTCCCCCTTTCATGATATGGGTGCGAATCACAGATGTGCATTTCCTGGTGGCCGCCCTTTTGTTTCTACATGTGGAGGATTCAAACATGAAAACAGCTTCCCGCACTCTGCGGGGAAACCCATTTCCAAACAAGCGCAACAAACCAGGCCCCAACGCGGAGCTTGATGGAAGAAGCACATCAAGCTCATGAACAAAGGAGCCGCAACATGAGACCCAAGTTCCCCAAAGGATTATCCTCTGCGACTCGTTTTAGCGAGGGCCCACGTTGACTTTCAGAGGAACCGAGCCATGAGCTGTCCGCATCGACGGCCCAGGGCAGAGGGCGAGGACCTCCTCGGCGTGTCCGCAATCTCCTTGGCAGGGGGCTCGGGGCATTCAGCGATGAAATTGGCTCAGCTGTGGGTCATTTTTCCCATTTGAAACATGGCTTTTTCCAGCAAAACGATGGGAAACCACCATTTACAAGGGAATGCTCAGGTGGCTGTGGGTCAAAAGTGGGTAGCCAAAATGGCTTGCCCTGGTAAATGGAACCAAGGACTAAAACCTGCGGTCCCCTGCTGGTTTAATTTTGACCCATGCCCAAGTTTCTTGCCGGAGATGGCCATGGTTGACGGTCGGGATGAGGGGGGGTTGCTTCGGCTCGTTGGGACGAAGGCTGGAAAGGGATCCTCGATTGCGCAAGGCCAATCCAACAACCAAGTGAAAGATCCAATGGCCCGTGATGACTCGTCCATGTCTGGCTGATTCAAGTGGGCGTTTCTTCAACTGGATCACGGACACTGTGGGGTAGCAGCTCCAGCTGCTTTTGACCCATCAGTGGCTTTGAGGCTCCCTTGAAGTCGGGCCTTGATGTGGACGGCTACTTCCACGTGCTCGCAGAGGAGCCACAACTTTCGCGCCTTTGGGCGCGCGGGCACGGCGCGCGAGTTTTTTCGACGTTGTCAATTTCGCACGTGGCCTGAAAGGCCATAAATTGAGAGCAGTGCAGCGGTGCAGGTGGTTGGATCTTGAAAGATTTGAGCTTTGGAGAAATCAGACTGACGGCATGCACCATCTTTGGATCAGTTTCTCCAAGGGCAGCCAGTTTGATCTGTTTCAATCACCGTTCCAGAAATGAATTCCTGCCAATTCGGCAGGGAGTGCCATGGTCAATACCTGGGAATATTATGATGTGTTGATGAGGACTCAATCGTTCATTGATATCCACCTTCGGATCCGCGAATTGAATGGGAAGTATCCTTTGCTGAGGCCGCCTGGCCTCCCTTACTCCATTTTTAGCGATGGATGCATTGGAGCCCCCGTTTGAAGCCTTTCAGCCTGTGAAAAAGGGTGAAGATAAGCGTGCAAGTCAAGCCAGTACAATGGACCTGGTTGCCAGGGGCGAATCAGCCTATCGTCAACACAGATGAAGCCCCAAGCATTGCGGGCGAGCAACAGCATGCTTCATGAAATTTTGGCAGGCTGAGTTGCAACACTGGTTGATGCAAGTTTGATAGCGAGATCCTGCAACTTGCGGTGCCATGCCATCAACATTGGGGTGCCATAACCCAACGCCCGCTGGGCCCTCACTAGTGAAAGTCCGTTACTTTCGCATCCCGTTGTTTTCAATTGGTTTCATCGTCTTGACCTACATGTTTCTTCGCCTTCGAATGTCAGATCCTTTGAGGGTCCATTTTCTGCTCAAGGGGGTCGAACAGCAACCCCTACAAAGCCTCAACGACCCACAATACGAAAAGCTCTGGTGGGCCTTTGGGAAGACCAAGCCTGGCAATGGGCATCCCAGTTTGGTACGGCAAACAGTTCTTTCACAATGGGGAGTTTTCCATTGAAGCGGCATGGCTCTGGCTTGCTACTGGATTGCCTGCAAAGATGCAAGAAGAGTGGTGCCCCAAGTTTTGTTTGCTGCTTGCCCCACCAAATGGAATTGGAGTTTTCAATTGGAGCGGCTCTCCAACCCCACCTTTCCCAAGCTACCAGAGGGCACCTTCCCCCAAGGGCACAAAACGGGGCTCGCTTTTCGGTTTCTCCTTCCCGCGAGGACGGCCCCGAAGCCTGCGACCCTCGGGGTCAGCTGCGCGTCACGGCCTTCGCCCCAGGGACGAACGAGCCGGATGGAGGGTCAGTGGCCCAGGCCAGCGGATTCCGCCCGTTGCAACTTTTTGTGTTGGAAGGGTTCCCCTTGGAAGTTTTTTTTTTTTTCCTAGCCCTGGCACAGGGCTATCCCTGGCAGGTGGTTGGTTGGTTGGTTGGTTGGTTGGTTGGTTGGTTGGTTGGTTGGTTGGTTGGTTGGTTGGTTGGTTGGTTGGAAGGGTTCCGATTCCTTTAAAACTCAACCAGCCACAAAAAGGAGGCGATTTTTTTTTTTCCATGGCCACTGGGCGTCTCTGGGGCGGGTTCAAATTCAGTCCACACGAAGCGCATGCTCAGCGTAGATTCGTGCTTCTTGATTCGCATGTTTGATCCATATTGAATTGATGCTCATGAATTCCTGTTTGGGTTGTTCAAATCCGCAAGAGTCCAATGCTGGATGGTAGTGATTTCCATTATGTTGTGGTGTCCCATTACGGATTGCAGATTAAGACCGGGGATCGCCGGGTTGTTCATCCATGTTGATTTTTGGGACACAGTCAAGGGTTGCCTGTGGCTGCGCCTACTGATCTTTCCGTTCTGCCTTGTCGGTCAAACGCTGCAAAGGCTACCAGGATCTTCCTGGTCAGCAAACAAGCTCAATCACTAGAGAGCCCCCAGGGGGTGGGGTTTACCAGTGTGTCATGCTTGGAAGTTGGCCGTCAGGTTCAGTTTGGGTTTGTTCCAAAGCAAAACAAGGCGCTTTGATTCCAGGCAGTTTGGTTCAAAACCTCAACAAAACAGCGCGTTGATTCCAGGCACTGGGCCGGGTTTCTGTATGGCTCATGATTCTCGACTCTCAGGTGTCTCCGCTGTGGATCGAGAGCCCCCGGCGTGCAGGCGCAAAGCCGCGGGTCGCGCACAGATGACAAAAGCCATCGACCAGGGTTCCTTTGAAAGGGACATCCGATTACAAGGGCCCCAATCATCAAAATGGGATGGTGCAGTTTAAGACCAACTCAGTTCTTGACGTTGGAAGACTTGATTCCGACGAAGATGAAGACATCTCCCTTATCCAAGGTGCGGTTGGCCGAGCTCCTGCAAACAAACAACAAATCCCTCACGTGCCCCGTTGGATATACCTGGGCGAGTTTCCCCGATAAAAATGTCACCCCCTCACGCCCCCCCCCCTTCAGTTTTTGCCCTTTAAATCAGGTTGTATGGTTGCCCTGGAAGACTAACACAATTGGAGAGGGGTCTTTGCAATCAGAGGCCTGATTTGACCAACTTCTGATTAGGAAGGGCCCTGGAAATCACCTTCAGAGCGGGCGGAGAAATCTGTGCTTGGACTCCAGTGTTTTTCGTATCCAGGGTTCACCAGGCTGGTGGCTCTGATCAGCTAAGCAAAGAGATGGATGTAGTTCTCCCACGTGCACTATAAAACGCCAACGGGTCGACCATCGGTGGCTTGCGACGAGTGAACTATATCATGAAACTCGTCAAAAACAATCAAGAATCAAAATCTAGTTTAGCGTCTTAACAGCAAAGTCTACTTGATCGTTTTCTTTCTTACGGATCTTCTTAGGTTTCTCTTGGCTGTCGCCAACCCAACTCCTTGGGTGTCACTTGATAGGCCCCCGGTTGCCGGCCTCGCCGGAGCCGGCGATCCGCTCCAGCTGGCGGCCGAGGAGATGGCTTTGGTTGGGGGGCGGCTCTTGGACCCCAGGCGAACTGAAGGGCTTTACCGAGTTCTCGCTTCCCGAGTTCCGTTTCGGACTTAGAACCTTTCTGGGAAGACCAGGTTATTTGCGTTTCAAGAATGTTCATGCACTTTAGGCTTGCTGGGAAGACCGTGTTATTTGCGTTTGAAAGAATGGTTGGGACATGTTTTTTTTTTGAACCATCAACTCGGGAAGTGAGATCAGGGGTCAGCACTTTTACTTTGTGGCAAGCTCGCGTGTCGGACTGCGGCGGCTGCTTAACACCGTGCTGCTGGCCAGCGCCGCCAGCGCCAGCGCCGCACCGCCAGCGCCGCAACTTCCCAGCCCGTACTTTGTGTTTTAAGCTGGCGCTGTCGGAGTTAAATTCCATATGGCAGATTTGTCAAGCGTTTGCTTCAGTGGCTGGCTTTGCATGAAGGTTGCTTGTAGGAGGTTGTTTGGGGTGGGACGTGTCACATCCAGTTTTGGAAATGTGGAGCCCACCGGCCCAACTGCTAGCAGTGGCGCGTTCGTCCCCTGGTACGCCTCATGACAAGACTCATACTTTTGCCGGGAGTGGGTGATGCAAAGACACACTCCGCACATTGATCCCCTTTCCCCATGTGTCCTGCCTGCCGTTCACCACTTCAAGGGAAACACATTCATTCACTTGTTCCTCAAAATGGCCTGGGGCGTTCCCATGAAGAAATTGAGAGCCTGCAATCGATCTCCCAGCCCGGCGCTGTCGGAGATGCCACACGTAGCTGCGAAGGTGATTGAGGTTTGATCACGACAACAAGTTTTCTAGTCCTAGATATTGGAAACTGCGCAGATGCAGTTTCCTTGTATTTGCCAAGGATGTTGCTTCATCCTACAGACGACTTAGAGTGGGAGCTTGGGGTGTCGACTTTGGATTCTGGAGTGAACAGGGTTTGGGGTATGGCGTTTGGGGGGATGGTTGAGGACTTGAGACTGAAACGACCAATGGACCAATGGGCCCATGGGAAAAAACGGCGGGAACGTCAGGAGCCCAAGGCTCACCGAGAGGGCGAGCTTCGAGAGGACGGGAAGCGAACTCTTTTGGCTTAGGATATGGCCAGATGGGTCTGTTTGCGTTTCTTTTTTGGGGGCGGGGGGTACCCGTTTTTGTGTTGTGTTAAAGGGAAACCAAAAGGAAACAACCCTTTAGGCGGCGCCCTATTTTGAGGCAATCCCAGATACCATGAGGGGAATTCCCACAGATCCGAAGTGTTCAACACGACATACAGCTGGTGGTCACTTTGCGCTGATTTCAGAAAGTTCCAAAGGGGTCGGCATTTTATCAGCTGTGGGTTGCCCCCTTATTCGTCTCAAAACCAATCGCCTATTTCCGGTGCTAAACCAAGGTGTGTCGTAGAATATGGGGCCCCCTCTTGGTTGGTGTTGGGGACCAAGAGGGAAGCATAATTTCAGTATTGGCACGCTGGTAGAATAATTCGTCCATTGAGTGATTGCCTTTCGACATGTAAAAGCAACAGGCGCCCAAGAACTTCTTCAGTCCGCCAAACGAGGGGCCTCAGTGCGGTCTTGCCAACCGTGACAAATCTTGCTCTTCGTTTCTGAATGATGTGTCCAGCTTTCATCTGGTCAAGCACCTTCAACCCTGGAAGAAGCAATCCAAGTTCAGCAGTTCGCTTTAAGATATGTTTAGCTTTCCAGTCTCACCCTGGGCCTTTTGAAAGGCTAACAAACGATCCAAAGAGTTTTTCCCCTCACGCCAAACCCCCAGGTGTTCAGAAAGGATAGATGACATGTGTCATCTCACATTGGCTGGTTTTCCCGTCTCGAAACCAAAAAGGGGCTCCGTCAAAAAGGACCCCCCCCCCAAGGAAGACTGGGGGCTTGGCTTCAACCAATACCTCTGGGTGAATTATAACGACCTCACACGACCTCACCCCAAATGGTGGTTTATGTTGGGAATAGGCCCCCAAGCACCTGATTTCAGGTTGGTGAAATATAACAACTTCACTCAGATACCTCCAGGCCCCTGCTGACGCTGGATCCTCTGGCGGGCCTTCGCAGGGAGCCAAGCCTCAGCTGGCAGCGGCCTTGGGAGCCCCCGCTGCCGCAGACCTGGGGATGCCCCCGGGGCGCCTCGATGTGGGCTGAAGTTGCGCCACTTTTTTGGGGAAACCAGCGAGGTTCCTAGCTTTAATTGGGCGGTCCCCTTTACCTGCTAGGGAAATGGGAATCGGTGAGAGCCAGTTGTTGATGGTTTTTGTTGGACCTGGATGAAACTAGCAGCTGTGATCCCCCCACGCTACCTTTCTGAGGTTGATGTGGACCTGAGGCAGCCCAGGCATTTTGACGATTAATGATGTCAAAACCGGTGCCCCAAATTTTGTCCTTTTGCTTCACGCAGCTTTTAACCCACCAGGACGTGCCCCGTTTTGACGGCCCTGCATGACAAGGCTTCCAAGATCCCGGCTAATCGGCCAGCTGCACGAATTGTTTCTAATTCGCCAGATGCCGCCGATGTCGATTGGAGGTTCATCCACCAGCGGCAATGCTGTTTCGCCAATGAGTGCAATGGCTGCAGCTAGGTGTTGTCAGTTGCCTTTAGTTTGGCCGAGGCCTGGGGTGTGGATTGGCCTAGCTGCTCCCTGGTGCGGTGTTTTGTTTTCAGTGCGTGAGCCTGATATTGGAAAGCTGTTTCCTCAAAACTCGGTGGCCCTTGCGATGACCAGGGGCCGTGTCTTTGAGGCCCTTTGTCCGAGCAGCTCTGGCAGTTGGGCCTCCAGAAGGAGGTTCCGCCGGCGCCGGTGAAGGGCGTGGAGAGCGACGTGAGCGAGACGGCGCTGAAGGCGAGAGCGCCCAAACGAAGGGCGAGTTTGTGGGATGAGGTGATGAGACTTACAGCAAAGACCATTAGGACTTGTACAAGCCTCTCTCCCTCGCCATTTGTTTTTTCTTTGTTCTTCCTTTGCACAAGCCCTCTGAGTAGAACCAAGACGGCAAACGCGGTATCGGGCCTCGTGATGACGTGATATGACGTGTGCGTGTGTGTGTGTGTGGGGTCTTGATGCTGAGGGTCACCATTGCTTCAAGTCGGTTGCTGTTGCTTCAAACGGTTCCGTCATGCGGCGGAGTTGAGGCCGCCTCCCGGCTGTCGGACACCGAGCTGCAGCTGCGGAGCTTGGCAGGCAGCGAGGAGCCGCAGCGAAGCCTGCGAATCGGGTAGAAGTCGACCCTCCTTCCTCCACAGGGCTCCTTGAAATATGCATGTTGCAACCATTTGAAATATGGCTTTTTCCACCGAAATAAAGGGAAACCACCATTACAAGTTGCAATGCTCAGGTGTCACTGTAAGGATCCCTGCTCCAAAGTGCCTCACCTGGGGGAAGGGGAGGGATGGGAATCTTCAGGATGTGGAGCCCCAAACCTCGGCCCGGAATCCACGATGTTGTTCCCAAACATCGATATGTTCCCAGCGAAGGGCTGGCTTTTTTACACACTGCGCAAAGGCCAAGTTGAAAGTCCGGGCGCGGTGCTTTCCGGGGCGAAATGCAAGGAAACCCTTTTCCTTCAAAGTCTCCGGCGAGTTGTCATGTGTCCGTTGGACTCACTTGGAACCATTTCCATCGTCAAATACTAGATTCCTTTCGGGGCAGAAAATGGCGCATCTTGCGCAAGGAGGAGCAGCTGCAGCAGTTGAGGGCAAGGCACCAGCAGAACTTGGAGAGCCTGGGCCTGCTGCAGAGGCAGCGAGCCAAAAAGCAGTGCTTCCTTTGTTTAGTTGGAGAAAGTTCGACTAGTTTCTTGATTCTATGGTGGCTTGATGATCATTTGATGTTGATCTCATGTCTATCAGAGATTTGATTTGACCCGATTGGACTGGATTGGATTGGTGTAATTAGTTGGGCGTGAGGTTTAAGTGATGGTGATGGTGATCTGATGGATGTGTTTATTATTTTTGATATACATATATATATATATACTGATTGACTGACAGACTGACTGACAGACAGACTGACTGACAGACAGACAGACTGACTGACTGACTGACTGACTGACGGACCGGCTGACTGACTGACTGACTGACTGACTGACTGTCTGACTGTCTGACTGACTGACTGTCTGACTGTCTGACTGACTGTCTGTCTGTCTGACTGACTGTTTGTTTTAGTTTTAGTTTAGTTTAGTTTGTCTGCTTGTTGATGTGGTGGTTGGCTGGCCTGCTGGCTGGCTGGTTGGTTGGCTGGCTGGGTGGCTGGTAGTCGTGGTGCCCGGTGAAGTCCGTTTTGTTAAGTCTTTTGAGCCACCTTCTCCAGGATCCACCGCGGGGAAACTGTTTGCTGTGTGCTTTGACTCGAGGGCCGGTCTCCACAGCCGGAGGTCCATGCTGCTGCCAGAGGCTTCCCTGCAACCAGCCCCGGTGGCGCCAGCGGCGCCAGCAGCGCCAGCGGCGCCAGCGGCGCCAGCGCAGGCGGCTGGGCTGCTGACAAAGCCCTTGGAAGAGCTGAGGGCGGCCTTTGAGGCCACCCCAGAGGAGTGCGGGTTCTTGATGGGTTCCTGCATAGCGCGGCGGCTCGCATGTCAGAGTACTCTTCCTTGTTCCTCGTCTTCGCCTGTTCAAAGACGGCGATTGTTCAATGCTGCTTTGATGAGACCCTCCATGGACTGCTGCCACGCGGGGCACGCGATGTATCCACCAGGGGTCCATAGCAACACAAACAATGAAGACCGAGAAGGCACGTCCGAGTCAACTCCTTCACGAACAGAACGGGGCGGGAGCAATTGGTTTTGAACTTTTGCGACAGATCGACCAAAGAAGAGGCAGGCTGGAGGACAGTAATTGCCAAAGGTCGCTTCGGCCACTCCGTTAAAGTGCAAGATGACTGGAGAACGCTGAGGCACTACCAGGACAGAAGCAGGTCAATGTTGGATGATCTACGTTCCCCAAGTTGCATTGGATCATATTATCCCTTCCTGTTTCAAACACACGCCAGTCTTGGGGGAGATTGCCGAATTGCCGCTGGGAACCAGCGGTTGGCAAATGTAGCACGCATCTGGTAGTTTGGACGTCCCCACGCCCAGGACCTCCCACCATTGAGGTATTTGGCTTGGTTGCTTGTGGGTTGTTTCTTCCAAGCACGCGTCGTGTTGGGCCGTGGGCTAGTTTGGTGTGCTCTCAGAGCCTTAAAGCCACACAGTCAAACATTGGTCCATGTCTCTTTTTCGGAGCCTCCAGTGGCGATTGTTTCCATAGTCTTTGACAGAAATCGAGAAATCGATTTCTGTCAATTTGATTTCTGTCATCTGGTGGGGTTTTTGGGCTGGTTGGTGGGTTGGCTGGTTGGTTGCTTGCTTGGTTGGTTGGTTGCTTGCTTGCTTGGTTGGTTGATTGCTTGCTTGCTTGCCTGCTTGCTTGGTTGGTGGGTTGGTAGGTTGGCCCTGTCGCTTGGTTTCTCCTGTCTTTCCTTTTGGCCAGGAGGCCTTGGCGCTGAGCGCCGGTCCCCTGCCGCCGGAGGCCAGGCCGCCGCCGCCGCCCTGCGCTTCCCTCGAGGCCGCTTCCTTCGCGGCGCTGGAAACCGCCGGGCCGCTGCCGCCGGCGGGCGGAGGCCCGGGGGGGTGGGGACGCCCTTCAAGGGAGGCGCCAAAGACGGGAAAGCTTGAGTCAATTTGAAGCAGGGCTGTGGGAAACGGAATCCACTTCTGTGATATAACAAAACGGGCTTCTCAAAGACAAACCTGCCACATAAAGAGGATAATCCCTTGTATCACAGGAGTGGGGAAAAACCCCTTGATCCCACAACCCTGATTTGAAGTGACATGAGTTTTGAAGAAGCTACCATGAAACAGTATTGTTGAGAACCCGTCCAAACATGTTCCCGCAACCCAGCAAGTGAGAACCCGACAACCAGTTTGGACCGGGACATGGTGTACGGCTAGTCGTTGTGGCTGAACACTATTTGTGTGTTGGGAGGAACAAATCAGCCATCGTCCACCATAGTTGTGGTCACTGAGCATTTATACCGAATTAGGTTTCAGGGCGAGCAAAGGAGCTGACAAATGAAAGAGGTGCATGCGTGATGAAGGTTCCTTCTTGGGCGTCCCTTGTTTCCTTGAGCTATCTTAGTTCACTCAGATGGAACACGTCCCGCAGCACACCAGTTGCACAATCAAAGTGCAAAGACTTTGATCAATCTGCGCGTTACTTGAACTGATGGAGAACTGCGCAGCAAGTGCATTGAGTATTTCACCTGTTTCTTGGGAAGGGATGCAACATTTGCTTCCCAGGTGCGATGATGGATTTCATCAGCAGCGGGAGGACCCGGTATTCCGCGGCCCGGGGATAGCGACCCAACCGTGGGTCGAAAACGTTTTCACGCATGACGGGGTTGGCTTGGTCACATGTTGGAATCTCTGGGTCAGATTGGGGGGTCTCAGATCGGAGGGCTCTTTAGCCAACAACCCAAAAATCACATTTTGTTTTGTAAATGTCTGTAGTAACTGTGTGGTTTCTGTATTTTTGTTCACGACTCTATGCTCCCTCTTCAACTAAAAGAGATTCGAAGTGCTCTTCCACAAGGACAGCGTGTCTCCACCTCGGGGTACTGGCAAACTTGTGCCAGGCTACTCACCCAAATGCTGACATGCGCGGAACAACATCGTGGATCTCCCTTTGGAGATCCCAAGATGTGAAGGTGGCTTTTGTTCGGCCGCAGCATGCTGCAGGTCGCTCCTATCTCCCTCTCTCTCTCTCTCTCTCTCTCTCTCTCTGTCTCTCTCTCTTCTCTCTCTCTCTCTCTCTCTCTCTCTCTCTCTCTCTCTCTCTCTCTCTCTCTCTCTCTCTCTCTCTCTCTCTCTCTCTCTCTCTCTCTCTCTCTCTCTCTCTCTCTCTCTCTCTCTCTCTCTCTCTCTCTCTCTCTCTCCCCCCCCAAGATGTGAAGGTGGCACAAACGGACACCAGGCTTCACAAAGGGGGAAGTATTTTGGAGCACCTGGCCCCTTGATGCAAGCCTTGATTGAGGCTTGAGATTAGAAAATAAGGTACAGGAGACATGGCAGCTCGGCGAGCATGCCTGATTGGCTTTTGCGTTGTGCTGCTTGGAATAGCTTGGTGCGATTAACACTTGTGTTAAAAGTAACAATTTTCAACGTAAGCGAATTGCTTGTGCTCAATTTGGAAATTGAGCACCTTCAGCTTGTGCAAGCAACGGATGTCATGACACTTGACAGTGTCGCATACCGCTTGCCATTGTCTCGAAAATTTGTTTCTCTGCCACCCACCCTTCCCCCTTTCACCCATGCCTCAAGTTTCTACTTGGTCAACAAGTTCTGCATCAAACGGAGTTCGGGCGGGGAGAACGTCCACTCCCTTTTGATGCTTTACTGTACAACATGTTTGTGTTTGCGACCTTTGGACTTGCATACCTTTTAGTTGTACTTTATTTCGAGTCGTGATGTCTGAGAGGCACCGGCATCGACTCCAGAGATTCAACAGATCGACCAACAGGCACGACCCCCACCCCACAAAACATGTGCTGGAAATGTGTACCGCTGCTGGTTGCAGTCGACCTTTCTGGAGCGATTCGTTGTCATGAGCCGGCATGAGACCAAATACATCCAACCCTGGCCATTGGCAAGCCCCCAGCGCGCTACCTCCCGTCTCTTCAGGCTCATGGCTCCTCATGTTGAGTGGCCGGAGCCACACGCATCCCAGATCAAGTGTTGGCATGCAGCTTTCTAGCTTAGGGCTTCCGCATCGGCGCAACGTGGTGTTTGGTTTTTGGGTGGTTGGCAAAGGGGCCAAGCTTCGCACCGGAAAGATGCTCCCGCTGCGGTCAAGCGGCTCGCCAAAAACCATTGCGAGGACCCGTCAGGAGCCTGACGAGCTTTCTGCTCGCGTGTGAGCAGGCTGCTGTGGAAGGTGAGCTGGTCCTTCTCAGATTTGCTTGTTTCTTTGCACGATGAACTTTGTGCATTTGTCAACTCGGTTCTGAAGCAGACGGTGCCTGAGTCAATGGAAGCTCTTCCACAGATGGGTGTCCAATCACGTTTGTTTCCTTTGCGCAATGAAAGAGCAGTCGCGGACTTAGACACAACCCACACACAAAAGCCCCTTGTGTATGGTCAGGGCGCGAACTGCGTCGGGGGCCTTCGGGCTTGTCGCGTCTCCGCCAGAGGCGGGGGCATATTCGCATCCTTTGGTGGGACCAATTGTGGCAGTCCGGTGGTGAAACCAGTCTCGGCGTTTTCAGAACCTGTTCGCTTTTGGCCGTGGCTCAGAAAACCGGTACCAAAATGGAACCCTGGTCAGTGGAAACATGGACCAAAACCTGCGTAACCCTAGCTCTTTAATTTTGAGCCACAGCCTTTTCTCGCACAAGGCCCCACCTGAGCTTGCTTTACAAGTCATGGTGCAAACCAGTTCCCCATGAGCCCAGCTCTGAGCAAGGCACCAGCTTCAGGGAAAAGCGAGAGAGACTTGGTAGACAGTTCATTGACCATGTACAGAATAAGTTGAATGTTGTACCCTTTGGCACATTCTCCTGAAGCAACAGTCTTACCCGGGAGATCCAGTGTCATGTTGCCAGTTGGACACGACTTGTACAATGTGTAAGTGGCTGTTGTAATATATACAGATGTCCACAACATATTTACCGCGACTCCAATCCTCCGAGAACTCAGCACGTACATCAGCGTACTGTGGAATACTGTGGATGCCGTATGTGACTTCGCTTTGCTGTGTTTCGTTGTTTTTCTGTTTGGCGTATGTGACTTTATGGCTATTTGGTTGGGCCTTTGGACTCAAACTGTTTGTAAAGCAGTGTTTTTTGTTTTGGACCCACAACAAGTTCTAGGGGTTGATTCCCCATTCTTTGCAACGTTTTTTTTTTTTTGAAAAAAGGATCCCTGAAAAGAATGGGGACAGTACCCCTAGACAAGTTAATTTCTTTGCAGAGGGGTCTTGCCAGCAGCCAAAGTGATTGTGTATTGCTTTGTCTGTTTGCCATAGACCTTGGAAGCCAGGCCAGACCGACTCAGTGGGGCTAGAAAAAAGCTTCGCAAGGGGTGGTCAGTTGTAAAACCCTTGTTTGAACACCCTTGCTTCAACAACCACATGTTTGTTTTCTTTTGAAGGGGCCCAGGGCTGGTGGCTACAAATCTTGCCCAACTCTGTTTGTCAGCAGATTTCCCATGGAAAAGGCGCTCCACCGGCTTGCGATTGGAATCAATGGATGGCAGACATCTTAGCGCTCCTGTTTGGCGTTCAATTTGTGCGGGACAGCGCATGGAACAGTCTGGTTGCCTTTGGCGAGTTTCTACCCGACAGGTTTCGGCTCCTTCGCCGTGAAACTGGGCCCCCCAAGTAGAAGGCCCCAGGGAAGCCAGCGCTGATTTCGCAGCGCAGATGTGTGCCTCGGCTGGTGCTTTGTAAAGGAAGGTTCTTCGAGGTTGCTCTATGCCGAAGGAACCACTTGTAACACTGGCAAGACGCAGCTGGAAACACCTGAGAGATTGGCAGACACGGTTGAAAAGGTCAGCTATCAAAGCACTTAGTGCTCAACAGAGGTTGCGCTACGTTTGCGTGAGCTGTGACTTATGTTGGTGTCACAGATGCAGATGCCGTCACGCTTCCTGATTCAAACCAGGTATTTCTACGGGGTCATCTCACCTGAGGCAACAGCAACCCTTTTGGGGCGGATGGTCGCTGGGTCGAGGGTGAGAACCGGGATGTTGCCGTGGGGGCTGGCTCAAGCACCAGCAAATTTTTAGAAGCATCGCGAGCCCATCCGCTCCGCGTGCAACGCGCACTCTGCTGAAGCCAGGGATCAGGTCGACATTGTGCTTCCCAGGGACCAAAGCCAGGGTCAGCGGCTCCTCAATGAGCAAGATCGGCGGCTTGCCGCGGAACGGTCCAATGAAGATGCAAGCAGCGACGCAAAGAAGTAGTCCAAAGGAGCACGGAAAGACAAGCAGATATGCAACCCGATCAGAGACATTCTTGCGGTAGCATTTTCAGTTCCACCCCCAGCGATCTTAAGCGGCCCATGTTGCACTCACGCCTGATTCTTTTGCACTCAGCCAACTACCCAGACATGCCAAGACCAATCAGAGCACGCCTACTTCACGCCAGCATGCTCAGCTGCTTGATCGGGTGAGGCCGGAGTTCATGTTGAGGGACTTCGGGCGCAACAGTCCAATAGTCATAAGCCCTGTGCATATAGAACAAGAGAGCCAACAGCTGGCTTCAGTAATTCCATTTCGGGGAGACTTGGCAAACAACAAGTAATTAAAACACATGGGCAACGGTACGGTTAAGCGCTACGGCTACTTCTGTAGGCATTAAGCTGCTGATCCGTCAGCCGTTTGTGAGGGCCACCTTTTGTGAGTGGAGGGAGTCCCCACTTTGGGAACAAAATGATTGTTTTCCACAACCATGGGCACAGTACCATCTCATCAGCAAAGAGTCTTTGACCTTATGACGTCGATAACTTTTGTTCTGAGAAGTGAAGGCGTCCACGATTGGGGAAGCTACCTACATACATAATGCGTGAGTGAGAACCTCCTTCCAGACAGGAGTCGAAGACTTGGACGCGTCTCCCAGAATGATGCATCTATTCATGCATGTATCTCTTTTTCTTCTTCTTCTTTTCGGTCAGCTCTGGATAGTAGAGAAGAGCACAGGAGACAGGGACGGCGATGGCTTCACTGGATGAACCCATCACAGCTAAGCCTTGTTTCCTTGTTCAAGTCGTCGATAGTGGGCAGTGGGCAGTCGGGATCTTCACTGGGGGTATTTGGCTTTTGACCCCATGGCCATGTTGTTTTGTTTGTGTGAGGCGAGTGGAAGCTTGCCGGAAGGCAGGCAACATGTGCAAACACTTACGTCACTGCCCGTTTTACTCTTCACATATCAAACCAGCTTGTCACGGCTCTGTCTTGGGCCACTTGGGGCTGGAAACGACAATGTGTTGAAAGGGCAATCTCTATCAGAGATAGTTAACATAAGGCCTCAGACTGGTAGTTAGGATCATGGTCCAGCCCGCAGCCATGTTGTGCAGCTTTTTGCTTCTTAGGATATGCTGTGCTGAAACGTTGGGTTGCTGCAGTTTGTGCGTGTATTTCCTCCGGCAAGCAATGATCGCCCCTCCCGTCCCCATTTTGCCCCATGGAAGCCGAAGAGGTTTTTTCTCGCAACACGGCCGCATCGATGTGGTGGCACCTTGGATGTGTGCTGTGCATGTGATAAAGGCACATGGCTGCACAGGTGAGGCACCAGTTGGCGTCAATAGCCTGATTTCCAGGTGCCTGTCCAGAAAATTGAATGGGGAAAACGAGATCCATCCCTTCACAGGTCGGTTTGGCGCTTTCCCTTCGCAGATTTTGCTTCTGAGCGGAAGAGGGTCTTGAGTTCTGACACATGAGTCACTGACAACTTGGCTGGTAGTCTACTGTTCGTTTGGGGAGAGCGTGCTGCAGGGGTCGCCGTATTTCTCCTTTTGGCGGACCTCAGCATCTCCTTTGGGCAGACTGATGCTTAAAAGGAAAGTATCGGGAGCCCTGTCGGGGGGGGGGGGGACCATGACCATGACCATGACCCGCATTTTGGGCGTGACACAACCTACGAGCTTACGAGCTGCGGGAATTTGGCCAGGCGCCGATGGATACTGAGGATGCTTTGTCTGAGGTGAGGGGCCCTGCGCCGGGCGCGGGGTGTCAAATACATAGGCCCAACTCAGATGTGGCTGTGGGTCAAAATTAAAAGACCCGGAACTTGCAGGTGTTGTTTAACTATATTCCGAAATAGGTATGGGTCAAAATTCAACCACCAAGGTACCGCAGGTTTTAGTCTAAGTTTCCATTTACCAGGGTTCCATTTAGGGTACCTGTTTTTGACCCACAGATGTTCAGGGCTCCGGTTCCCCAAGTCTTTGCAAGGCAATCTTAGGGAGCCAAAACCCCCCCCCCCATGCCGCACCCCTCACGGTGACATCCTTTTTTGGAGAGCCCGGAAGGTAGACGCGGGGAACACCTTGAGAGTTGTGAAGCCTTGGTTTTGCTGGGCATATGGCCCAAACCCAATGGAGGCTTCCTTTTGCCGGAAGGAGTTGGCATTGGCAATGGGGTGGACGGGGAAGCTCAGTCCGGAACATTCGCAAGTGCCAGCAATCATTTGCAAACTGAGTTGAGGCTCCCTGAGTTTGAGTGAAATCCGGGCAATCATTTGGGAGTTTGTGGTGAACAAGTCCTTGCAGACTTCTTGGCTGAACAATTCTTGCAGGATGACATGACAACTGGACGAGATCACTGAAGCCAAGCAAGTTCACCCAAGACACTTCTTGTTGTCGTGAATTTGCGCATGCTGGATATTGAACTGCTTCCTGACAGTTCATACAGGGTGTTTAGTGCCTGGTCCTTGGCAAGCTCCAGGATTGAATGGTGCTATTGTTGGGGACTCTAAAGGGGACTTTAACGGCTCATATCTAGTCACCGGACATGTGCCAGACCTGGGAATGGTCAAGTGCTGCACGGGAGTTTTTGTTTAAGGAGCAAATCTTTACTGCCCAGTTGTTTAGGGTAGTGCCCATTTTTGGGGGGGCTAGTTCGAAGGGACGTCAAAAGGACACCGCTCCATGTCCGGGGTGTTCCGTGACAAAGCAGGGCTGCCTGGCCTGCAACGAACAGCACACCTTTGGGGACCCGATTTGTGCTTTTGGCCATAGCTGCTTTCAGTTCACTCGGCTCAGTTGGTTTAACTTGTTGGTCCTTCAGTTCTGGCCGCTCCCTTCGAAACCGATGCAGCATGTGAAACAATGTTTCACATGCTTCCCCCTTAGAGAAAAACAAGCCAAAGGCCGGGCATAGAGGGTGCTGCGCTAGGCTGAGGGTTTAGTCTCAACGATTGTCACTGCCATGTCTCGTGATCGCTTCGTGCCGGAAGGGCTTGACCTCTGGTCCTCAGGAGTAAACCCCAGGGCTGCGAGCGAATGGAAGGGCCGTGAGCCGGATCTCCTTTTGCAA